TATAGACATATCGTTCTGAATTTGCTAGTATCCCAATAAAAAAAACACTAAAAAGTAACCTCTTTTGGGAGTGTATTTTAAGTGATTTTAAAGTATGGTTCCCTTTGAACTAAATTTAAACGTTATCGACACGTGCTTTCATTTAAAAAAAAAAGGTACTCCTGTTCACGTTTTCATCTAACCTAAAAACCACCAATTTATCACGCGACTGGAGTAACGTGATTCCACTTACCTCTGTAAATCACGTGTTTATGACCAAATAACCACTTGACCAAGCAATGAGTTTTTTGTCCGTTAACCGATGGTGGTGATAAATAAGTAATTATTCGGTCTTGTAAGCACCTTAATCGATTGGTTTCACAGGTTATCCAGGTTGATGGTAATAATCACGTTACTTACACCGGCTAATCGTCTTATTGTTCTGTCCGTGAATCTCTGGTTATATTAAATTAGTAATTCTGAGGTGTCTTACACACCTCTTTAAATGGTTTCAAAGTTACCATAACTTTCTTGGTTATGATCACGTAGCTAAAACTGATTTCTAATCTAAGCTGTGTATCCGTGATATTTAGGTGTGAAAAATTGGTAATTATTAGGTGTCTTAAAACACTTATTTAAATGGTAGTCAAAGTTGCCAGCAGTTCCGCGGTGATGATCTCGTGACTCAAACGGATTATTAATCTAAGCTGGGCATAAGTGACTTTTAGGTGTGAAAAATTAGTAATTATTAGGTGTCTTAAAACACCTTTTTAAATGGTAGTCAAAGTTGCCAGCAGTTCCGCGGTGATGATCTCGTGACTCAAACGGATTATTAATCTAAGCTGGGCATAAGTGACTTTTAGGTGTGAAACATTAGTAATTATTAGGTGTCTTAAAACACCTTTTTAAATGGTTTCAAAGTTACCATAACTTTATTGGTGATGATCACGTAGCTAAAAATGATTACTAATCTAAGCTGTGAATTCGTGATATTTAGGTGTGAAAATATAGTAATTATTAGGTGTCTTAAAACACCTATGTAAATGATAGTCAAAGTTGCCAGCAGTTCCGCGGTGATGATCTCGTGACTCAAAAGAATTATTAATCTAAGCTGGGTATTCCGTGATTTCCAAGTGTGAAAAATGAGTTATTTCTGGGTGTCTTGATGGTTTCACAGTTACCATTTAAGTTCCGTGGTGATAATCCCGTGTCTGTTGGCATATTTCTATTTTCACCAGTTGATAACTGACTGTTGGCATCTTTTCATTGCACCAGTTGATAACCGGTCTATGTGCATATTTCCAGTTGCACCAGTTGATGACTGCGGGCTGACTGTTGGCATGTTTCCAGTTGAACCAGCTGACACAAATTAATTTGCATATTGAATATGGGGTGCGTGCAGATCTATGTTTTTTAAACAGTTTATCCGAATTTACAGCATATTTCTTAATTACTGATGATTTAGTTATATGCAATTCATTTCGAAAATTCTACAAATATAAATTACCAGTTATTAGGACATTTCGCTACTTCGTATAAATTACATTTAATTAAACATGAATAAGGAAAACATTAACTAGAACCAAAAATAATTTCAATAAAATACAAGTATAATGACAAATTTCGATTAATTAAGTTATGTAAGTCTACTTATCACCAATGCCTTTACATTGGAAATACAGACGTACCAGTATTGAAGTGTTTGTTGCCGTTCAACTGGTTGGAAGTTTTACCGAATGGTTCTAATGGCTCAGCTAGACCAGTTGAATTCTAACTGGTCTGGACCAACTGGATCATTTAGCCCATTTCAATTTCCGGGGTTACCAGTTGGCATTAACTGGTTCATCAACTGGACCAGTTGCAACTAGCTTTCTCCTCTGGGATGTTTGCAACCACCCCCGACCCCCCCCACCCCCTCTAATCCCAAACTGCTTCCGGCGCGCCTGGACGTAATTATGGAAGATCCAAAACACGATGTTCAGAAACGGGATGAGAACGTCATTATTTTGGTTTATTTATTGTTAATTATTGGGTTGAACGCGGGTTACAGTAATATATTTCCTCTTCGACGTAATATTCACGTGAATTTCACGCAGGTATTTTGACTAAAACTATCACTAACGCTTCACGTGTTTCTGTGACGCGATAATTTCGTTTATGAAGATGTAATTTCATAACCAAAAAATACGGGAGTATTAGGTTTCCAAACCATGGTCTCCAAGGTAGGGATAATCACGTTATTATAATGGTGATATTGCAGTGACAATTGCGTGATTTAGTGTACGTGTGTTTTAAGTGACCTAGTGCAATAAACGTATTAACACATTTACGTAAATGTCCGGTGTTTGAAGAACGTAACTCTCCTCAAGTCGATACCTTGATATTGACGTGATTTTCACGTGATTTTGTTTATTGGGATGAAGAAAAGAAAAATTACAAAAGACGGGATATCTCGATTGAAGAATGAGTTGAAAAAAATAGATTGGTCAAATATGTATAATGTTGATAATGTGAATTATTGTTATAATGAATTTATATGTAAATTCTCATTATTGTACGATGATTGTTTTCCATTGTTACCCATTTTTGAAAAGAAAAAGTAGTGCAAATTCAAGCAACTATGGATGAGTAAAGGACTTTTACTATCAGTACGAAAGAAACAAAAATTACATCAACAGTTCTTGAAACAACGTAATGATAATAATAGAACTAAGTATACTATATATAAAAATAAATTAACTTCTTTATTACGAACAGCTAAGAAACAGTACTATTATAAAATGTTTGCTAAGTATAAACATGATTGCAAGAAAACATGGTCACAAGTTAATGTATTACTAGGAAAGAGCAAGAAGAATGATTTGCCATGTAATATGTATTTTGAAAATATTAGTTACAATAATAGAAAAGAGATTGTTGAATGTTTCAATTCATACTTTGTTAATGTAGGGAGTAATCTAGCTCGTGGCATTCCTGTTGTAGATACTTCATTTAATGATTATTTAAAAAAATCATAATGATTTTACATTGTTTTTAAAACCTAATACAGTATTTGAAATAATTGAACTTAGTAAAACATTGAAACCATATAAAGCAAGTGGCCCAGATGGTATTTCTCCCAGAGTAGTAAAAGAATGTATACACTTTATTGTTGATCCATTATGTAATATATTTAATAAATCAATTTCTTCTGGAGTATTCCCCGACAGTTTGAAATTAGCTAAAATTATACCCATTTATAAGAAAAATGAAAAAGAAAATATACAAAATTATAGACCAATTGCTCTTTTATCAAAATTTTTTAAAAATTATTTGAAAAAATCCTGCAAAAAAGAATTTATGATTTTTGGGTTAAAAACAATTTATTGATAAATGAGCAATTTGGATTTAGGAAGACTTATTCTACATGTTTGGGAGCACTTCATTTAACAGATTATGTAATTAAGAATATGGATAAGGGTAATTATTCATTGGGTGTGTTTATGGATTTGTCAAAAGCGTTCGACACCATTGACCACCACATACTGCTCAACAAATTAAATTATTATGGTATTCGCGGCCTTCCATTGAAATTAATTGAAAACTATTTGAGTGATAGAAAGCAGTATGTGGTGGTTGACGGTGTCTGTTCGACTAAAAGGGATGTAATATGTGGTGTTCCTCAAGGATCAGTTCTAGGACCCCTTTTGTTTTTAATTTATATAAATGATATTAAACAATCTTCAAATGTATTAAATTTTACACTCTTTGCAGATGATACTTCCGTTATTACATCACATAGTAGTGTATTTACTTTAGTTGATATTAAGAATAATGAATTGATAAAATTGGATAATTGGTTCAAATGTAATAAATTATTTCTCAATTATGATAAAACAAATTATGTAATATTTCATTCTCGAAATCGGAATATCCCTAGTGATTTATTGCCTATACAAATTGATGTAAATATTATAAAAAGGAAAGAATGTGTTCAGTTTCTTGGTATTATAATTGATGAATTACTTAATTGGAAACCTCATATTGATTGCATTTCGTTGAAATTATCTCGAAGTATTGGAGTTTTGTCAAAGCTAAAGCATGTTTTACCATCAAATATTTTGCTTATGTTGTATAATAGTATGATTTTTCCACATGTAAATTATTGTAATATTATTTGGGGAAATACTTATGCATCATATATAGATAAGATTTATTTGTTACAGAAACGAGCCGTGCGTATTATTACTAAATCTGATTATTTAGCCCCATCACGGCCACTTTTTGTTAAAACACACGTAGTCCCAATTTTTGAATTGATTCAATTTAATACTCGCATATTTATGTTTAAATTTCAAAATCGCCTATTGCCAGAAATTCCTAATATAAACTTTGTTATTAATAGTGATATTCACTCGTATTCTACTTGTCAGAAAAATCATTTACATTTATTTAAAGTTCGTACGACAAATGCACAAAATTCTTTCTATTTAAATGGCATTAAGAAATGAAATAATTTGAGTAATGATATTAAGGAAAGTACAACTCTATCTCGATTTAAAGTACGATGTATACAGTTATTGTTTAATAATTTATGTAAACAAGTTTGAGCAGAGGAGGATATTTTGAATGTATGTGTGTATGTATAATGTGTGAGCGTGCTTTTGTGTTTGTATCATGTTATTTTAAAGTTTTTAAACTGTATAATTTATGTGTAGTTTTTTTTTTTTTTTTTTTTTTTTTAAGGCCCCACCACAAGCAATTTCCTTCTAAGGGTGTCCATTACCGTACTATGTTTACTATGTTACTCATTTGTATGTTCATGTTTCATTTTATGATTAAATCAACTTTACTTTACTTACTTAAAGTACGTAGCTATCGAGATTGATTACATAAGTCATTTATTATGACAGTTACATTAGTATGTGAAAGGACACATCATGCAGGCACTAAAGTAATTATTCAGTGGCAATATATTATGCAGATGATTTGCAGACTTAGTTCATTCTTACTAGGTATAAATGAAAACACAAGCAGAGAAATTTAAGTGCAATACACAAGTATTTATTTACATGTGCTAAATGTCTATATGTATTCCTGTTATTTATGTTATACAGATTGAATTGTTACTACGACTTCTAAAGAATAAAGCTCACCAGAAGTCAAATCCAGTTTACGTAGACTGAGTTCTTTGGGGGGTAATCTTGGGGTTAAGAGCCTATCTATAATGGCCTGAAGTATGCTACATATGGTAGCTACCTTTTTTATTACAATTCCCTTGGGTGGTCTTTATAGACAGGTTTGACTATACCCCAGGTATACAGGCTTTGTAATAAAATGTACATATTATTTTTTCAAAATGTTTATGATAAACAAAGGTATCACCCATCACCAATTAAATGACTATAAAATACATTGTTCTAATATAATATAACGTTTATAAGAACTATATTAAAATTTATTTGTACAGACTTTGCCGAAAAGTTTAGAATACAGTGCCTATTTTGATTGAAAGTGAAAGATAACTATCGTTTGTTAATATGTAAAAACTCAAAAGAACCAAATATCATTTACTTTTGGAATCTCATTTTAGATTTGGATAATGACTTTGTTTGGAAGGATGTATTTTTATTTAAATTAAAGCAAATTCGTAATAATGCAGTTAAACAATTTAAATTCAAGATGATTCATAGGTTTATTGCCTCAAAAGAAAACTTATATAAATGGCAAATTGTTAATAATTATTTATGCAACTCTTGTGGATAAGTTGACTCAACTTTTCATTTTATGTTATATTGCAAGGATGTGACTTTGTTTTGGGAAATAATATGTAATATTATATTTAATCTATACCAAATAGAAATACAAATAGACCAGAAGATAATAGTTGTAGGTAAGGATATTGGAAACAAGAAATATTCACTTCTGAATATTATTTTAAATTATACGCAATATGCAATTTATAAATGTTACGTTAAGAAGATTGTTAATGGTTCTGTTTACTACCCACATACTTTGTTTTTTTAATTCAAGTCGTTGCTAAGATTATTTTTAAGATATGAATGTGTTAGCAAAGAAAATAATACTAAGCTGGAAGAATTGTTGAATATACTTTAATTTTTAGCCTATGTTATGTTTTACTCAATCATTGAGTTATTAATGTACATATTTTTATTACTATTATGGAAATAAAAACCTCGCTTGAGGATAAGAGAGAAAAATAAGGTTTCAGAACCTTTCAAATTGTCTTCAGTTTGAGGATTTTAAAGATTACTTTCATATCTAAAATTTCTGGCATCAAACGCAATATAGTCGTGCCAAACAATGGATGCAGTGTATGCAGAAATCTTTGCTCTTTCTACTCAGGCATATGATATATATTTGTCAGGGTTCTGAATCAAAATGTAGTGAGCCAAGCCACTGAAAGGGTTAAGGCAAGGCTTTACAATAACAGGTGCCCTGGGCACATGACGTGGGCGCCCCAAATTGAAGTCTGGACCCCCAAAATTCAAAATACAAACACACCAGGGGCCCGTTTCATAAAACTTGTTAGCTATAACAAATGCTAAATTTCTATGACAAATTTGCTCTCAGCCAATCAGATGCCATGATTTCAGTAGCTTATAATAGTAGCTTGTAACTTGTTATTGATATCAAGTTTGCTCTAAGCCAATCAGATGCCATGATTTCAGTAGCTTATAACAGTAGCTTGTAACTTGTTATTGATATCAAGTGTTATGAAACAGGGCCCTGATGAAATGGAAAGATGCATACTCCACTCTTTTAATGAAAAAAAAGACTTCCCTTAATACAGCTTGCATGACCTTACAATGAAATCAAATAGAGATGAAAGTATCAACAATCAAAACCAAAACACTTCTTTTAAACTTCACTTTACCTCTAATTATGCCGATATTTTTGCCTCGAGATGAAAACATATCTGTCTCATAATAGTAGTGTTTCCATTTAGGAGAAGGCACATTTCATTTTGAATCCAACTTACAATCTTAATTCTTATAGTCTGTGGGGCTTTGAACGCTACAGCTGTACATCTTGTAGTTCAAAATGCGTAAACATGCTAAGGCCTAATAAAAAAGCCCAAACTATACACAAATATAAAACTCCCTTCTCTCAACAACATCAGAAACTTATGAGTACTATCTACACAAAAAAAAATCAATACCTGTAAGTGTATACTAAGCTGAATTTCTTGAATACATTAAAGAATAAAGTGAGTCAAGTTTTCTAGAGCTTTCAATTATAAGCGTGGTGAATGTATTCCTTAAAAACCAAATTGAAATGTTATTGATAAAGAAATCATGACGATTTTTACTTTTTGCCTCCTCATTAATTACTATTACAAGTTTTTTTTGCTGGGGGGGGGGGGGGGGAGGAGGGGATATCTCAGTAATGCAGGGAACAAGATTCATTAGCTTCTTGTCAGCATTGACCCCCAGGTCGATTCGACTGATGAATTACGGACTGCAGTCCACTTCATCCTCTCCTCCTGAACAGTCAGGCCATAAGTCACACCTATATTGGTAAGTGAAACACTCGCCATCGTTGCAGGTGAACAGCCTTGGACCACATTCACCTGCAGGTAGAAGATGGGCGAGAGAGAGGGAGGGAGGGAGAGAGGGAGAGAGAGGGAGGGAGGGAGAATGGGAGGAAGGGAGGGAGAGAGAAAAGGAAAGAAAGAGAGTGAGAGAGAGAGAGAGAGAGAGAGAGAAAAGGAAGAAAAGAGAGAGAGAGAGAGAGAGTAACGAATGTTTGAAATATGCCATCATTAAATCTATGCCAATCTGAAACTGGCAATTTAATCAGTGGAACGTGACATACTTGTAGTTGTGGACATCTCAACAATTATTTCTGTCTTTCTCTGAAGTGAATTCTCCTTTGGGGCACTACTCACAATATATTATGGATAGCACATTTGTTTAGGTCCGATAAAAAGGAAAAGACCCTCCTACGGCCTGAATTATAATACTACTAATAATAAAAACGTTACTTATAAAGCGCTTATAAGGAGTTGTGATTGATTCAAATCAATCGAAACTCTTTATAAGACTGGGCCCTGAATTATACATTTCGAAAAATTGAACATTTTATCAATCATGTGTGTTAAAACAAATGGGAATGGTGCCTGGCACTACGTCACATACCATACGTTGTATCAATGTGTTCATGTAACATTACATTAATTGTAAGCTACTATTTATTGTCAAGTTACGATAAATTATAACTTTCATATGTTTGTAGAGTATAAGTATAATGATTTATTATCCATATCGTGAAATTTGGTTTCCACTTGTTACAATGTAATACAAAACAAACATATAAATAATGATATTACAGGACAGTGATAAACATACACAAATGATAAATATAAATATTAAAGGAGGTAATAAATGAGTAAGCCAAGGTATAAATTGAGCACGCTATTGTTCCCGCCCGGCAGGCGAGCCGAGCAAGCGGCCTGTTGATTGGTTGAGCACCCGTGTGCTTCGGCCAATAGGCCTTTTTTCGTTATTGTTCTAATTATTGATCGAATTAGTTGACCGTCGATCCACCCGTAGAGTATAAAACACGCTTGCCCACATTATATGTTATCACATGACGAAGTGCTGCAGCGGCAAACGAATATCACTAGCGTTATTATTTTCGATACTTTATCCGCAATGAGTAATATATTTAGCATCATTATTATTGTTAACTTTATTGATGTCAAATAGTTACTGGCTTAATTGGTAACTGATAGTTTGATGCACGGTTCATGGCATATGTTTGACATTTATATTAATACATTGACATGGTAAGTTGATAGTAGTCAACGTTTTGCTTTAGAATTGAACAGATGAATGGAGTCGGGGATAAAGGATCTTCGGAAACGTACACGTTGGGTTTGCGCTGTGCACAGGCGTATTCCAGATCTGTTATAAATTGAAGTGCTCATTCAGTGGGTGTAAGGGGTCATGCATTATTTGTTTTATTTTAGAAAGGGCATCTTTCTGGTACAGATCTTGTATGGATGGTAGATCAGCTCCTGTGATACGTTTTGTTGCCTTTCTGGGACGCTCGAGCAGTTTCTTGGCAGCAATTGTGGCGTTTGCATAATAGCAAATTAGGTTGAAGGTTAGGACACTCTGAATTAGGGACTTAGAAAATAGTTCTATCAACTTACTTTAAGTTTGTCATTACCCTAACAAAGTATAGTCTCTGGTTTCCTTTTTTAAAATTTCTACACTGTTCTTTGGGCAATCAAGTGACTTTGAGATAGCAGTACCTAAATACCTATACTCTGTAACTTGTTAAATCGGGTATGATCGAAGGGTAAGGTCACCTTTTTTAGGTCAGCCATGCCGGGCATAATTTTTTTAATTTTATTTTTTTAAATAATAAAAAAAAAAAAACGAAGGGGGGGGGGGGGGTTATACACATACAAATACCAAAGGGGGGGGGGGGGGGTTAACCCCCAACCCCCCTGTGTACGCCCCTGGATAATAGTATTGAAAGCACTAGAAAATCCACGTAAGTGGATCTAACATAGGTCTTAGCCTTGTCTAAAGGGGCATATACCTTCAATGTTAACACTGCATCATCAACTCCTCTCTTACATCTGTAAGCAAACTGCATGGGGTCAATGTAGGGGTATTGTATTTAAGAAGGTACTTCATCATGATCTTTCGAAACATTTCATGACACTGCAAGTGAGTGAGATGGGAAGAAGATCATTAAGCTCCTTAACTTTCTTTCCTTTTGGAATTGGTCTTATATATCAAGCCTTGAAGGGGATACATCCCGACTCTTTGGGAAACATCCAGGATGTTTTCCAAAGAGTCGGGATGTATCCCCTTTCCAGTGAATGTTAGAAAAGTTCATTTAATACCCCGGCTAACTGATCCCTACAAAGCTTCAGCACTTTGTTACATATACCGTCAGACCCCGGGGCTTCATTTAAGTGCCCCAAAACATCGCCTTACATCATGTTCAAAGATACAAATTGTAGACAAGTAGTTCAAAGGAGCTACACAAAGAGAATTCACTAACAACTCATAAATAGAACAAATTACATATGGATGGAAAGATTTTCTCTTGAAAAACACGAACAATTTGCTGAGAAATCATATAGATATCATGGAAAGGCGTAAAATGCAATTTTTCAAGACCCTCCTTAGACCCCCGAACGCCCCTGAACGTAAGTCAAACACACAAGCGTAGCGAGCTCTGAATTGTGACGTCACACACTGGACGAACAGCTCAGTGCCGTGTAGCAGTATGCAGCTAGCCAGCCGTGTCCCGTATATGACCTCACAAATATTAACGCTCTACAAAGGACCGCTGAAGGCAGAAAATCTGGATCTCAAAACTAACATTTTTGAGAGTTGAGTACTGCGGGCCCCAAACATATTTTTAAGAGAAGAGTTGTTGTATTTGATCGGCAAGGCATCAATTCAAAACACTTTTGATTTCTTCGTGTGGCTACTTTAATCATTTGACTAGAAATGCAGTGGTCGTGGGTTTATGTCCCGACACATCACTTATATCGATGAGCAAGGCATGCTACATTGTTCCTCTCCACCCACGTGAGTGCCCGTAAAAAAAAGCGACTAGCTGGAATGCTCCCCAGGAAGTGGAGAATGTGCACTTTAATGCGCAGAATAGTAATTGAATCCAGTGACCAGGGTCATAAGAATACCATTCAGTTAATGGAAATGCACTACCTATAAGAAACCAATATCATTATTATTATCATTATTACAGGCCGTGCGTGACATGAATATGTATATTGACGAATTTAAAGTCTTACCTCCTTCCGGCGCAGTACAAATCCTTTCATCCGAGTCATCACCAGTCACCGGGCAATTACGGAAATAATTACATGTGAGGTTGTAAGAGACGCACCCACCAAGCTCACATGTAAACTCATCACTGCCGCATGTTGGTTCTTCAAATATAAAACATCAAGAAGAAAAAGATTACATTTCAGATATAAAATGGTAGTCAGAGGGCAGGATTAACGCGCTTCTTGTGGCAGTTGTCCACTACATGCAGCTGTGATGCGCAGTGGCGGATCCAGGATTTGCCGATAGGGGGGGGGGGTGGGGGGTGGGGGGCTAAAATTGAAAATCGCGTCGACCAAAATTTCGTCCGGTTTTTGAGAGAAAATTTCGCAACGACTCAATCGGCCGCTGAATAAGCGGGGGGGGGGGGGGGGGGGGGGGGGAGGGGCGGGGTAGGTAGTAATTATTTTTCTTCATTTTTTTCCCGGGAATTCGTAAATTGCGCAGACCGTTTTTTGCTCAGTGGGGGGGGGGGGGGGGGGGGCGGTAGTGAGGGTACTACCTACAACAAATAATAACAAAACAAACAAATAGGGGGGCCGGGCCGGTCTGCCTCCCCCCCCCACCCCGTGGATCCGCGCCTGGTGATGCGATTCAAGACGGGATGCAATAGCAGAACGAGAGAGAGAGAGAAAGAGAGAGAAGTGATTCTGAATAAACCATGTCCATCTTTGTTGCATTACCTGTATCGTCATAATAATAATAATAACAACAAATAATAACAACAAACAATAATAATACAAATCAACAATACTACTACTGCTACTTCTTCTACTACTATATCTACTACTACTACTACTACTAATCATAACAATAAGAATAATAACATGTTTTGTTTTGTTTAACCATGGTAGCCTCATCAGTATTGATATTGTTCTCTGTGAGGGCCCTGCAATCATATCATTACCCGGCTTTAACCGAGCTACATGTACCATGAAAAGGTGCTCAAGCATTCAAGGAATTTATCTACCAACAGGCATCAGTGCCACTTGGGGACTCGAACCGTGAACCATGCAATCTACAGTGCGGTAATGTATCCATAAGACTAGGACGTACACCACTGCATTTGGTATCTCATGCCAGAGCTTTGCAAAAGAAACATTAAAATCCTCAAATTTACACTGTTCATACAAGCGAAACATTTCTCCTTGCTCATTGCATTGACAATGGTTTAACTTCTCAACAAAAATACTGTCTTTACGTATTTTTTTATTTTTTTTAATCAATAATCAATATTGGCATCTGGCCATTTTGTGAGTTAGAATAATGGAGCTCGTACATACATATATACACAATTATACATTTTGTTTCCTGGTTAGTAATAATATATATCAATATATCTATTTTTACGTCTTAAATTAGATGAAAAAGGTGATCAGACATATAAAATATATTTGTCAATGATTGACTAAGAAAATATAAATCACAAAATTGACGTGCATCGTCACATTTGCTTGGCAGATCATGATAATTATATTTGTTGTGAAAACATGCAAATAAGTCATGAATATGCATAAGATACGTTGAACTGGTTTGTCCACTGGTAAGTCAACTGGTATTCTACTGGTTTACAACTGGTAAATCTACCGGTAATCATCTACTGGTTTTCAACTGGTAAGTCAACTGGTAATCATCTACTGGTTTTCAACTGGTAAATCAACTTGTAAATCAACTGGTAAATCGACTGGTAATATCAACTGGTCTCAGATGTCAACTGGTATCAACTAGAATTTCGACCTGGCAGGAACCAATTTGGGTAACTGGAAATATTCTTACTGGTTCCAGTTGCACTTCTAACTGGAACCAGTTGGGTAACTGGAAACGTCCTTCTAACTGGAACCAATTGGGTAACTGGAAATAATCTTACTGGTTCCAGTTGCACTTCTAACTGGAACTAGTTGGGTAAATGGAAATGGCCTTCTAACTGGAACCAATTGAGTAACTGGAAAAATTATCTTACTGGTTCCAGTTGCATTTCTAACTAGAACCAGTTAAATACAAGATTCAACTAGATCCAGTTGCAATCTCCAATTGGTTTGAACTGGAATTGACACACCATCCAAACTTTTTCCAGTTCAGGCAATTGGTTTCAACTGGAAAATTTGTATTCCTATTGAAACCAATTGAAACCAGTTGGAGATTTCAACTGTTTTCAATTGGAATTTGGTCCTGGGCATGGGGAACCAACAGGTACCGCTTAGGCACTGTTTGCTATATAGAGGCCGGCGCAAGTAGCTAGTACTGCAGACAGGCTTTAAAGAATAAAACAACAACAACCCGAAACGGGATGATAGTTCCAACCAAACCTCATGTAAGTATTGCATGTCCTTAAAGCCAATCATTATTAAAAAAAATTACCTTCCACAGCTGACAGCTCAATGAGGAAACCACGGGATTGACTGAAGTAATTTGAGTGGAATTCAATAGCCATCGTGTTGCTGCCCTCTGAAAGCACCTCTGTCTCTCCCGGGATAACTTCTGAATCAAAGGTGAACGATCTGATGAAATCGGAGGCCTCCGATTCGGTATCATGACCGTTCGTGAAGAGTAAAAACGACGAGTGGCTGAGATCGAAGTCTAATATTCGTGCCCGGACTAACAAGCCTTCGGGTACGGTGATGTAGGTCACTGTGTAATCATGCACCGGGTAGTCATTGGGATAGTTGGGAGACGATATGTTCATTGGGTCAGTAAGATCATATGTCACTGAAAAAAAGAAAGAAATATACATGTTTAATATAATATGGAAACTGATGCATATGCATGTAAATGACACACCACACCACCGGGCCGCGATACGACAAAAGAATGTATGGCAATTTGTTTTGTGAGCATTGATTTTATTACGAATTAGGCTTTATATTAGTGTAATCTAACTTCAAATCAAATATTGTAATCCGAATGCCTCCCCCCCCCCCCCCTCCCCATGAACAAAACATTCTAAATTTGTTAGCGAAATGAATGACAACTGCTCCTTTCTCCAGTTTTAAAAATGAATTACTGTAAAAGATGTTACGTGTAAATAAATTCTTTTGCCATCTCACAGCCGACCATTTTGTGTTTTTAGTTAAACTAAAATAAATCATATGATGAGTAGACCCTGGTTGTAAACTTTCACAACATGAAGAACTTGAATGCTGTTCATGCTTCATGAATTGTATTATTCATTTCACAGCACGAAACTTTTGTCAATTGTTAAGTCATGTCTTCTTAGCACCAAGGGACTTTCACAAAATTAAAATCTTGAATGCAAGTCACGCCATTAAGCATTTTGTGGCATGACACATTTGCGAATATCTTATCACTCATGAAATAAGTTGATGCACCTGAAAGTTTTTGGTTTGACATTAGCTTGAATATTGGTAGGTTGGTTTTATTTACAATGATAAAATTTGAAATACAAACATCATTACACCTAAAGAAACAAAACACTAAAATATTTCGCATGGTCTATTCTAGAAAAATAAGAATAACATTCAAATATAGATCGAGGCATCACCCGCTTCAGCTCAATCTAACCGACAGAGTTGATATGTTCTTTTTCGGGCGTCCAATAACGACTACAATAAACTGATTAATTGATTAATAACAATAATAATAACATTAACAAAAACCATGAAATACAGTGCAAGCATATTTAAGTTATATTGACTGCCTTCAGGGCAATACGACATACGTTGTATATCGCCTGAACCGAAGGCGAGGATGATATATGACAAGTCGTATTGCCCTGAATTAGGCAGTCAATATTACTATTATTAACCGCATCAAATATCGAGAGCAAACTAGATACTCTTACTATCTTATACTTACATTTTCATAAATTTAACAAACGAATTCGTTTTCACTGGGTGCCTGCCGTAGCAAAAAGTAGATTTGACAAAAGACTTAACTCCGTTTCGTTGACAATCAGCCATGCATGAAGACTCTCGTCTACGGCTGATTGTCAACGAAACGGAGTTAAGTCTTTTGTTAATTTCGTTTATTGATACGGCATGCAGCCAGTAAAAACGAATTCGTTTAATAAAATTATGGAAATGCAAGCACTACGTGAGTAGCATCAACTCAAAGAGGAGACGCTAAGCTTTCCAAATATGTATCATTTATTAATTATGATTGTGATTAAGTTATGATAAAACATCGATACTTCTTGGTTTCATTTTTTCTGGGACGCACTGTATAACACTGAAAAGTGACGGCCAGGAAAATATAACAATTTAGATCCTCGCAATTGATATCACATGCGAGCTCTGGACCAATCACATCTCGGTATCTGTCTAAGCTATGTAAAATATGATGTTATATGGCTGTGCAATATATTTGATTCATTGGTGTACTGTGTATCAATATTGACCGGCAAATTACACACAAAATCCCATCAAATTTTCTGAGCGGTCAATATATTTTTTATCGCACGTATGTTTTGTTGGCTTATCAAAACTTGGAGGACAATGATATTTAAAAATTGCCCTGCTCGAATGTCTGATACGGTTAATAATGATTATCATCATAACAACAACAATAAATTCCCTGAAACTACACCATCCACCCTTCCCAACCCCTAGCAATTAAAAATGAGATACTTACTCGTATTATTTGGATTGGCACAATTCAATTCATCGTCGTTTCCTTGCAAACAATCCACAAAATCATTACAGTAAAACGCTCCAGGGATACACTGCTTACCAGGGCATTCATATTCACCATCGCTGCATTCTATAAAAAATAAATGTTAGAAAAAATATCATCTACACTTGTTTTAAAAAACAAGAACTTGCAACCAAGACAGGGGTCCCCAGGGGCTAAATTGATCACATGAATTCCTTTTCCTTCTAACAGTCTGGAATAACTGATAGTTTTACTTTTGTTGCTTCATCTCCCTCCCTCTATAAGTCATACACATGTATGTGAAAAGAATGCAAGGCAACCATTACCGGGTACACAAATGTTTGAAGAAAAAAAAAAATCATTGCCATTTCACATTAAAGCCCGCCTCCACTAGTTTGGCCAGGGGATTAGACCTCCCTAGACCTCCCTGCAAGGTCACTGGCAGGTAGTTTTCTCATCAAATCAGCTCTCAATTAACATAATATAAAGGGGACCATGGGGGATCAACGGGTACTGCTTAGGCATTCTTGGCTGTATAGAGGGCGCAAGTAGCTACAGGTAGTGCATGCTGTCCCGCTTTAAGACAAAGATTTCTCTAGGAGATTGTGATTTTGCAAGTTCCATGCCCGAACTTTGGAACAATCTCTCTCCCTAGCTCGATAAGATATGCATGTATCCTTTAAGAATATCTTCACAAAATTCTATAAAAACTCATCACCTTTCCAGCGAAAATTGTATTCATATTGATATCTGCAGTTGAATATAACATATTCATTGCACAATATAAATTTACAATTACTATCATAACAGCTTTTCATTAGTACCGTTGTTTTCTTTGTCCTTTCAGTTAAAAAAGTAATTAACTAAGGCTTATTCAGATATGCCTCGGTAAAACTTGTAAATACAAGTAAATGGCAACTGCACTCAGCATAGTTCCTACGAGTATTCAGTGAGCTCTGTGTTTCAGATAAACAATGTCAAGTGTATTACACTTCAACGTATGTCATCATAAAGATCATAAGGAAAAAAAAAAAAAACAACAACATGTTTAGCGTCCTGCCTTTTTGAAAAATAGGAAGGAGGCCCTTTTTTTTTTTCTTCTTCAAAATGGCCTCTCGGTACATTTCCCTGACAGACGGGCTATTTTTCAAGATCACCGCCGGGATTTTTTTTTTTTTTTTTTAAATGAAAAAAATATTGAAGAAAAAAAAAGAAAAAAAGGAGGCGGCCCCCAAAAGGAAGCGGACGGAGACGCTAAACATGTATATATTTTTTAATGGCCTAACAATAACCGTATCACAACCATTGTAAAACTCCATATTATTTGCAAGTTATAAAGTTATTTACCGTGAAAATTGCTCTTGATTCCAAATATCCAATGTTTCATGACGTGAATGCTTCTGGCTTTACAGTACTTACCACAGTCTAGCTTGTCAGCATAAGTTGATTGCAGCGAGCCTAGCGAACGGGTGGGCTTCTTTACTCTATGCAACGCCGGCTGTCTGCTCTATTGCGCATCAGACAAAGCATGGACACAATAGGCGCGTGCAAGGAACCAGCATATATACGGGTCTTGGAACGGGGGATTAAGAGATAAGTAGGCGTTCCGGCCGCGGTAGAACGCAAAGTAGAATAAATTTGCCTTCCCTAAATACTTACCGCAGTCAAGTTCATCAGTTCCGAAGGGGCAATCAACGAAACTATCACACCTGAAATCCGCATGGATGCAGAAGTTGCCAGCTTCGCAGAAGAACTCGTTCTCATGTGTGCCACATTCGTCTGAAATATTGAAAGAGATAGAAGGTACGTTGTTAAGAAAATGTCAACACAGTAAAACATGAACACAATGGCCCGAATTCACAAAGGAGTAACCCATGGTTTAAACCCTCATTTAACCAATGGTGTAAACATTTGCGAAAAAATAATCGTACCTTGCCCTGCGAGCGTCTAATATATGACATCTGGCTGTGTCATGCTTACTTTGAGCAAATTTTAGACCATGGGTTATGTAAATGAAAATTTAAACCATGGGTTAAATATAAAGTTGAATTCTGGTCATGCGATTGCATTGTGAAAGAAACGTTGTGGAATCGATCAGAAAAGATTGATCATCTATATATAAGTATTGGTGTGTGCTTCAAGGTTCCGGAATCATCATAATGATAAGAAATTTGGCCCAGTCTTGGTAAAAGTACAAGCACTGTACACAAAAAGGTGTATATGGGACTACACGAACATGTGGCATAAAAATCAGTCCCGATTTTTATGATGTTACAAGCCATATTTAGAATATTAAGGCATTTGAAGAGCCATGCATTTTAGGGAACATTTTTTATTTGATGTTCTTCCACACTTGCATAATAACAATGACAACGCTCACAAATTATTTTTTCACCTCTTCCCAGAACTCATTCTTCTCTTTAAATTTAAACCTCCTTTATGAATTCGGGCCTATTAATTTCTAGTGCACAGCAAAAAAAAAAAAAAAAAAAAAAAAAAGAAGAAAAGAAAATGGAATTAGTAAATTTGAACTGGATCCCTTCACCTTTTATCAATAAGTGACTCTACTATATTCTACGATAATCATCCCCAGTGTTGGATTGTCCAGTTTTAACACTAAATATAGGTCAAAGGTGAACTGTTTGATATGACTCTATTTGTGTAAACTTTTTTAAAACAAAGATTCGAAGTTTAATTTATCTCTAAGTTGGACTTTACATTTATGGAAAGCTGTTAGCATCTTTGAAAATATTTTGTAAAAGTTACTTTAAAAGGCATAAAATGTTGATTCAAATCAGTTACATTTTCTAATATGAAGGATATTTTATGTTCTTGATGTGGAATTTATGAAAAGTCTAAGATACTTGAATTCTTGCTTTTGAATATATTTTACTTGAAGGCTACAAATGGCTCTCCATAATGTTTAAGTCCAACTCCCTGGTAATACATATACTTACTGTGGTCAAAAGTAGTACAGTTATGATCCTCGTCTTCCCCTCCCAAGCAGTCCTTTGCTCCGTTGCAAAGGTCAAAGGTCTCTATACAATAATCATCCATGCACTGATACTGGTCGCTCCTGCATGTTGGGTGGATGTAGTCTGTTGGTGTAATAAGGGACGAAAAAAATATAATACACTGCGTTTCGTAACACATAGGTTGCTTTCTTCGCCTCTCTGTACGCTCGCTCATTTGCCAAATCTGGAAGCTTGCACAAAATAACTCTTTTTTTAACCGTAAAGGATTCATTTTGCACTGGAAACCCTTAAAACTTGAAGCGTTTGGAGACCTATCCCATAATAAATGTTGTTTTGTTGTTTCTCTCTTTTTCAGGGCCATTCCTTACAAGCATTCGCTTTTCTTTTGGCCATTTCAATATTCAATTCTGTATTTTGTATTGTTGTTTGGATCTTTTTATGGTTATGGTTAAATGAAATATCTTCAATCTTGAAATGAAAATAAATACTATGTGGGACATGGAGATATTTGTGTGGCATTTAAAGAGTTAACGAAAATGAATCTCAACTTTCTTTAGCATCGTTACATAACAAAGTAGACTTATTGTAATACAGTTAAACCTGTCTATAGCTACCGCCCAAGGGAAATACAAAAATGTGGTCTTTGTAGACAGGTGGTCACCAAAGCAGGTATGACTGTACATTATTGAAAAGAAATAATTTGTATCCCCTTTTATCTGATACCACTTTTGTAATGACGGCTAGACCCTGGGATCATTAAACTGAACCAATTTGAAACCAGCAAGGTAAAATTGATTGGCGAATGAGAGTGGTATCTAAATCATCTATTCATCAACGCAAAGAATGGCCCATTAATGAGCCATTTGCGGGTACATATACACTTTCAAGTATATTGAATTCCATTATATTTTTTCACTGACAACTTTAAAGTTGCAATAACTAAAAAAATAAAATAAGGGAATTTCAAATTAACTGAATAGATAATGTCACTGATGTATTGATGAACTCCTCTCCCATTGGTTTCCGCACTCCAGTAACTAAAATTGCATTTTGCTCAAATTGAATTCATCAAGAGGTTCTATTCTTTTTAGAGCATTTAATAATAATATCTTATCCGTGATACGGTGATATATTTTGAGTAGTGCCTAAAGGGAGAAGAGGTTTAGGGGAAAAAACTATATTTACGATATTTCTTTACATTTTCTTCTACATGTGTTTACACTTTCATGACACATTTACAAAGATTGGATTGTCTTTTAAGTTTAATGATCCACTGATCGTTCATATGTGGAGAAGTCCCACTCTGTATATTTGAGAAAAATCACTCTACAAGTGATAGAGGTACTTCATGAATAGATGTTGTCTCCTCCTTTTGAAAGAATACTTCCACCTGGGTATCATAGAATGTACCATTAGTGCCTAGCTAGATCTATTATGTATTACTATAAATGTAAATGTCTTCTTCTTGATATTATGTGTCTTACTGCATATTTTCATATTGTCAGCCTTCTATCCCCCCCTCCTGTTGTCTTGTGCCCATTGTGTGCTGTCCCCATTGTGTGCTGTGCTGTTGTCTTTTATTATTTGTCATATCCTAATTCTCTCTTTTCTCCCGTCTCGCCCACTAGTCTCCCAATTTTTGTACACTTCTTGTTTCTTATACCAACTTTTTCTTAATGTATTCTTAGGTAGTCACAAATATATACTCCCACCATGTTTATCTTGTTGCTTATTTATGTACCCACCAATTTGAAAGGAAGACAAATTAATATCTTATCTTATCTTATGAATAAATATTGATTACAAAAGTTGATGAGCCCATATCCAGGATTTCTGTCTCAGTGGGTTCTTACAAGTTGTATATATGACCTTCATCTCTACATGCGCATGCGCAGATGGTATCTAAAGAATGGCTTATAAGGCACTTACTGTCTGGATTGATTGCCGAAACCTCGATCCGGAAACCTTGTCCACCGAAAGGTCCGCAGTGAAATTCAATCCATGTCTGGTTGCTAGGGATGACACGTTGTCTTGGAACATGGCGAAAGTGGTAGTTGGACACCAGTGTGTCCTGATCACTGTGGTCAAGGCCGGTTCCCATGGTTACAAAGGAAAAAATGGTAATGTCAAATGTCAGGAATAGCAAGCGGACGTAAAGTCCAGAAGGAACATTGACTTGCCACCCGACATAGCAGCCAGCTTCATAACGCATTGGGTAACCTGGGGAAGTGATTTCCTGTACTTCGTTCTGGCCTAAATTGAGGTTATCTGTAGATACAATCATGCAGAGTAGGGATAATTAATTAAAATTACTTATGACATTGCTACTATATTCTTAGTTTTATAATTCTCATCGTTTTTATTACTATTACTATTGCCATTATAACACTTATCATATACCTCTCTTTGAAAATCTAGCCATCTGATTGGTCGAATTTGCAGTGGTGATTTTGGATATTCCCGCAAAAAGGCGAACATGTAGTCAATAGTTCATGAGTGATATCCGTTGTCCCGGGCAACAGCCCGCATAAATCAATTGTGCTCAGACTCCATTGGTTAACGTGTTAAAATTTTCTTTGTGCGAGGGCGGACACCATACAGTGCTTTTTGTCTGCGATTCCCAAATGATTGAAAGTGTCAGTTATTTTTCAAGCGAAGATAAACAGTCAGTTTCTCAGATTTTCGTGATAAACATATCTTTACTCAATAAACGGATAAGGTAAGAATTCTTGGTAGACTTTGTTTCATTTCCACATATAAAAGAGATATTGACTGCTTTAATATTCGGGAACTAGCACATCCTGCCATGACCCCTCGGCGCGCCGCCCACCCAGGCGCGCCTCAGGGTCATGGCAGGATGCGCGCGCGTTCCCTTGAGCATATAAAACATCCAGGCCTCTCAAAGCAGTCGATATCTCTACATTATATACCTTACTTAAGAAATCCAGCCATCTGATTGGTCGAAATTGGAGTCATGATTTTAAGCCATGCCCTGCCTACAAGTCATTTTTTTAAAAAGTGCCCCCGTACCCGCCCTTAACTTAATAGTCTTTAATTTGTGCTCTAATCATCCTGCGATCCCCATTGGTTTACGTGTTAAAATGTTCTTTGAGTGAGCGCGGACACCATACAGTGATTCTTGTCTGCGATTCCCAACTGATCGAACATTTCAGTCATTTTCCCATTGAAGATAAACAGACAGTGTATCAGATTGTCTGTGATGTTTTAACCAATCTTTACTCAATAAAAGGCTGAGGTAAAAATTCTTGGTAGATTTTTGTTTTAATTCGCCATATAAAAGTCATATCGACTGCTTTAATATTCGAGGTCTGGCTGCTTTATATGCTCTCGGGAACTCGCGCCAGCCACTAAAACCAGCCAGACCTCTCAAAGCAGGCGATATCTCTATATTATCATTACTATTATGGAGGCAAAAATGTTTGAAAGAGCAATTAATAAGCGTTTACTTTGATATGACCTAAACAGGTGCAAGTGTCACAGTGGAAAGTTGAATCGGATTTCGATTTTGCTCTTACTAATAATGATAATAGCTACATTTATATATTGGACATATATCCATCCCAGGGGCTGCTCAAGGCACCTAAAAAGTACCATCATTACTCCAGTATTTGCCCAGCTACCCTCAGGCGCTAAAAGCATTCCAGGAATAAATTCCTATCATATCTCCATCTACTGCAGTAGGGTGGAGTGTGCAAATGTCTATCAATGTCTTGTCAATGGACATTGTAGTGCCATGTCAATAGATGTATATCTAGCTCTTCTAACTTACAGATAGTTCCGACGGTACCGCAGTCGACTTCGTCACCACCGTCAACGCAGTCATAAAATCCGTCACACTTCCAGTACTCTGGTACACAGGCCCCATTTGAACAAGTCAAGAAACCATCATCGCATGGACCTGTTAGGAATGATTGATTGATTGATCATTAATGAATCATTTCTAATATTATTATAAACCCCGGCCATTTGAACAAATCCAGAAACCTTCATCGCATAATTGATCATCAGATGACTTACTTTACGCATGAATACTAGTTAATAATCATATTCTGCATGTTTACATAATGCTTACTACATCTAAGTTGTCATTTAAATATACATGTATACCGTATTTACAAATATTAATACCCCGGTCACTGGATTTAGGCTTGTTTGGTATCGTTAGCTTAAACCAAGAGTCGAAAAGAAAAACACAATACTTTAGCCTTGTTACGAGACAGAACTCCTTTATTCTGAGTAAGGCTAAAGTCTGTGGTTTTATTTCGACTCTTGGTTCACCCTAACAGTAGTTCGACAACTTTGGCATATGCTGATTTTGTTTGGATTAAATCGGGACGACTCCCAGTATTGAAACAAATCTCAAGAAATTGAAATAGGTTTGCACCCTCCAAACGCCCCTTTCCGACCAAAACAAAATACTTAAAGTAAAACTCTCGTTTCTGACGTCACAACTCGAGCCCGTTTATCAAAAGGCTATTCCTGTATTATACAACTAGGAATTATCGGAAAGGCTCCTATGCATCTTCAATCGTTTTCTTGAATGGAAAGCCTATAGTTAGATAAAGATTCTTACCGCAGTCGACCTCGTCTTCGCCCATGGCACAGTCAGGTATGTAGTTACAGACTTGAGGCTGGGAGACACACTGTGAGCTATTGTAACAGGCAAATTGGAAGCTAGATTGGCATTGGAAAGCTACAAGGGATTACGAAAAATAAAACAAGAAAAGTGTCATGGAGTGATTCTGTTTTACACGAAACAAATGGTAATTTTATATCAACAGTATTAAACTTGTAATTTGCATTAAAAATATGCATACTACTTGCTTTCTTTGACCCTCTGCATAGTCACCAATCGACGATAGGTTGAGTTGGTGAAACATAATCTGGCTTTAGAATATTACCAATTTATGGTCTTGATTAGCTCAATGAAAACCCGTTTAACACTGGTATAGATCTAGCACTGGAAACAGTTAAATAGTCTTGATGCCTTTGGTATATATGATAAATACTAAGTGGCATAGGGAGATTATTTTTGTGGAAAATAAAGATAAATTGTCCATACACACATGAGTGTATGAGGCTAAAGTCAATTAAAGCAATCTGGTGTATGTACCCAAAATCAACCTAAGCTGAGATACAGTTGTGATGTCAGATTAGTCGCAAGACTACCAGTAAAGCCGACTTGGCATTCTGACAGGCTCACAATGTCCTGCTGTTCAAATATCAATCATATGGTCTTTTGAATCCCAAGCAAAGAAGCTTTTAAATGCTTCATCATCTTCATAATATCATCATCCTTTATAAAAGTTAGCATTTTCCGTCTTGCACGGGGTTACTGAATTTCGCAGCGTGATGACACCCCCTCTCTGCACTTCTTCTTGTCTAGAGCATCCTCCTCAACAACCTTAATGCTTTCTTTGTTCAACATATTTTTCTATTAAATCTTTGATCTTCCTTTACCCTCTTATGCCATCCACTTCCAGATCCCACTCTTTTTGTCACAGGTTCATCATCTTCCCTTCTAAACACAACACGCATCCATCTCGATCTATTTCTCTTTACAGTCTCTTCCAGACCCAACCTTTCCATGAACTCACTAGTGTACTTTCTATCGGACAGTTTCACACCACACACTCATCTTCTGTATCATGGCTCTTTCTGTTCTCCTCTAGATACCTTCTTCTACTCTCTTCACATTACAAGTTTTAATGTAATATCTCTATGTAATGTCACTACAATTTCTTTAAGAACTTGATAATAGTCAGATTAGAGAGCATGCAGAGGACTTTACTTACGACATCCTGCTTCATCGCTTCCATCCGAACAGTCAGTAAAGGCGTCACATTGGTGAGGCCCAGGGATGCACTGTCCATCGTTACATGTGAACTGATCAGGATGACAAGTACCTGAAAATATAAATAGTTATTTTATGATATGACAATAGGGACTTTTAGATTATGCACGACGAGAACGTGGACTGCCCTTTTAAGGCAATGTGACGTCACTGCCAGTGCCTTAAAAGGACTTCACATTGCCTTAAAAGGGCAGTCCACGTTCTCGTCGTGCAGAGTCTAAAAGTCCCTATTACTACTACTACTACTACTACTACTACTACTACTACTACTATTACTACGTGTGTGTCCTAATCCAACGCCTAGTGACCATTTCGCCTTTCATTTTCGGATCGTGACTAATAAGTCGGGGATAACCACTAGAGATGTTCTTCGTAACTTTATGCTTTATCAACAAGGTGACTTCGATCATCTAAACCGCTTGCTTCAGTTGGTTCCTTGGTCACTCTTTATTGATCCCAATGATGTTGATAAAAAACACATACAACTTTTTATCGATAACAAATACTAAATATCCTTGATAAATTTGCTTTCAGCCAAACAAAATATGCCACGATTTCAGTAGCTTATAACAGTTATTGTAACTTTTTATTGATAACAAGTTTTATGAAAAAAGGCCCAAGTACATGCATAAATATCCTGTAATTTTGCAACTGATCAGAGGACTTTCGATCTAGGATCGATCCCAACTCAAGATAGGACAGGACTCACCTCCTTGGGGTTGGCAGTTGAGTTCATCGCCACCGAATCCACAATCATTGATGAGATCACATACCGATCTGGCAGGAATGCATTCCCCATCACTAGGACACTGGAACTGATCTTCATCACATGGTGCAAAAGTCATGTCTGAATAAGGATAGAGAGAGTAGTAAGACAGTGTCAAAGTTGAAATGTCATATGTCTAAATACTGAAAGAGAGAGAGAAAGATAATGTCAAGGTTTAAAGGTCATGTCTGAATACTAAAAGATAGAGTAGTAAGATAATGTCAAGGTTTAAAAGTCATGTCTAAATACTAACAGACAGAGAAGTAAGATCATGTCAAGGTTTAAAGGTCATGTCTGAATACTGAAAGATAGAGAAGTAAGATAATGTCAAGGTTTAAAGGTCATGTCTGAATACTAAAAGATAGAAAAGTAAGATAATGTCAAAGTTTAAAGGTCATGTCTGAATACTAAAAGATAGAAAAGTAAGATAATGTCAAGGTTTAAAGGTCATGTCTGAATACTGAAAGAGAGAGAAGTAAGATAATGTCAAGGTTTAAAGGTCATGTCTGAATACTGAAAGAGAGAGAAGTAAGATAATGTCAAGGTTTAAAGGTCATGTCTGAATACTGAAAGATAGAATAGTAAGATCATGTCAAGGTTTAAAGGTCATGTCTGATTACTGAAAGAGAGAAAAGTAAGATAATGTCAAGGTTTAAGGTCATGTCTGAATACTAAAAGATAGAAAAGTAAGATAATGTCAATGTTTAAAGGTCATGTCTGAATACTAAAAGAGAGAGAAGTAAGATAATGTCAAGGTTTAAAGGTCATGTCTGAATAATGAAAGAGAGAGAAGTAAGATAATGTCAAGGTTTAAAGGTCATGTCTGAATACTGAAAGAGAGAGAAGTAAGATAATTTCAAGGTTTAAAGGTCATGTCTGAATACTGAAAGATAGAATAGTAAGATCATGTCAAGGTTCAAAGGGCATGTCTGAATACTGAAAGATAGAAAAGTAAGATAATGTCAAGGTTTAAAGGTCATGTCTGAATACTAAAAGATAGAAAAGTAAAATAATGTCAAGGTTTAAAGGTCATGTCTGAATACTAAAAGAGAGAGAAGTAAGATAATGTCAAGGTTTAAAGGTCATGTCTGAATACTAAAAGAGAGAGAAGTAAGATAATGTTAAGGTTCAAAGGGCATGTCTGAGTACTGAAAGATGGAAAAGTAAGATAATGTCAAGGTTTGAACGTCATGTCTGAATACTGAAAGATAGAGAAGTTAGATAATGTCAAGGTTTAAAGGTCATGTCTGAATACTAAAAGAGAGAGAAGTAAGATAATGTTAAGGTTTAAAGGTCATTTATACTCTTATATAGTATCGAAAATATTATCGTTAGTGAAAAATTTGAACAAGTTTGTGACAAAGTGAAAAATAAACCCAGGGCCGATATTCAATGTAATACTTATCTAAAAAAATATGACTCGGTTTTGGCTTCGGTAAAATACTTAGTCAAGCTAAGTTGAAGCTTTTGGCAAAGTATTTTACTCCAAGTTTAAGACAGCTCCCTTGCTGGCTGAAGCCAATTATTTTGAAGGCCTTGATTGGCAGGTATATTGTGTCATACGCATTTATTATAACCTGCGCACAGTTACATGTATATCAGCGTGCCTTAACCCTAACAAGGCCCCCCTCCCCGCGATTTTTCTGATTGTTCGGGAACGCATACGGATGGCGCCCGCCGCTCGCTGACTTTTTTCTTTCTAGTCTTGCGCCTCTTTTAAAACATTTTTTTTTTGAAAATCGGACGCACAGTTACAAAGTCACGCGACCTTTGTCTTTGCATGTCAGCCCGAAAATTGCTAATTTTCTTGATTTGTGTACAAACATTATGGAAATGGCATTTTTCCTAAAAAGAGATAAAACATTGGTTACTGTGGCTTGTTTAAAGTTTAGGTGTTTGTTTTGGAGTCAAAATAGTTGAATTGTAGTTAGAAATGAAATAAAACGACAAAAACAAGGAAATACATAAGAAATTATCAAAACAAGAGAAAACATAAGGGATAACCTAGCTCTTCCATTTTTTTGGTCGCATTATTGTTTCAAATGGTCTAACGAATACATGAAGTGAAAAAGAATGCTTAAATATAAAAAAAAATATATGATTTATGGGTACAAAGGTGAATTTATGACCTTATTTGCATAATTTATCATAAATATGCGGCGATCGGCCGTTTCAAGGCCGAGATCTTAAGGGGGGGGGGGGGAGGGCCGTATTAAGACCTCAAATAACCCGGCTTTTTTAGGGTTAAATGCAAAACCTTTATTGTGCATAAGTTTGGATTGTGTAAATGAAGTCACAATGATACTCAGTAAGAAGGTAACTTATTATTAAAGTAATAAGTTGGCTTACTAAAGTAAAATACTTAGATGTGATCTGAATTAAACTTGAGCACTTATATTTTTTTCATAATCGGTTTTCTTAGCCCTGACTCAAAAGGGCCGTTCGACAAATAAAACCCAAATATGAAATACACATACACATAATTATATCATAACATTACAAAATACATGTTAGAAGAAAATATAATGCTCAAGAGGCTATACATGCGGGCAATTTTGACGTACTGGCGATAGCGAGAATTATCTGTTGATAATGTGAGTTGAAAATGGGTTCTTTCCTTACAGTCCGCAGATATTATATTTTACCAATTTATCTACTGATTGTGGACAAGGATTAATATTAAGATCTTTCTACCGATTAATTAATTTATTTATTCATGTCTTCTTTATAAAATCAGGGTGGTCCCATTCAAGCCACAAGGCCTGATTTGAGGGAGCCCTGCTGTAACAAACAATTTACATTTCAAATATCTTACAATACACATAAAAATACACAAAATATACAACAAAAACCTAATATAAACAAACTATAAAACATGTCGTACAAATAGGAAATTAGATGAAAATGGAAGAGGAGAGAGAGAGTAAACGAAAGAGAGAGAGAGAGAGAGAGAGAGTGAGAGGGTGGTAGGAATACTTCAGTCATTTAAGTCACTTGAATTTCACGGACATTTCGTTTAAAAATAGGTAGTGAGGCGGAACATTTGGTTAAGTATGGGTAGTGAGTTGAACAACTTTGCTGCTGTGTACGAGAAGGTCTGTTTTTTTAATCGGTTCTGGGGTTGGCAAGCGGCAAGCTACAATTGATGCATTGAAACTGATCTCGTGGGATACGGGTTAGCACTTTGAGGTAGAGCTTGTTTTAGATAAACAGGAGCAAGATTATTCAGGATTGTATACATTAGTACTTGATAATTGTATTCCAATCTGTGTTTGACGGACTGCAACCTTAAAGAATTTAACATAGATTGTACAGGCGTATACTAATCTGCATCTAATACTAAACGACAATATTTGTTTTTACATTTCTGTAGTCGCTTTAAATCTGTATTTTTCAGTGATCCCCAAACAGTTGAACAATAATCAATGTGAGGAAGAATTAATAATACAAATAATTAATAACAATAGTATAAATTAGTAAATTCAAGTTTTATCAAACAGTGCTTAATCCTCCGCATACATATAAGCGAGTTCATAATCCTTTTAAAAACATCATTGACATGGGAAGACCAATCTAAGTTCTGATTTACAATAACACCCAGATATTTAAATTTCGTTACATTTTCTATAAGTTTACCATCCATTTTTATCTGTAGTTTGACTGGATTCTTCTTCCTTCGACTTGAAAATAACATAACTTTAGTTTTGTCTGTGTTAACAACTAGTCCATTTTCATTCATCCATTCACATAAAACTAGTATGTCGTTTTCTAACTGGGTTTGAACAGCTTGTACTCCATAACCATAGGAGAAAATGGCAGTGTCATCTGCGTACAAAGAAATATTAGTATTTGAATGCAAGGCTAGCTAGATCACATATGTCATTACAAAATAGTAGCGGGCCCAAAATTGAACCCTGCGGTACCCCAGAATGAACTGGGAGGAAATTACTTCTAATGCCCTTGTATGACACACATTGGTTTCTTCCCACTAGGTAAGACTCAAACCATGATAATTCTGTTCCGATGATGATCGAAGAAAGAATTACGTTTTACGTCACCCGTCAGCTGTAGTTTGCATCTACAAACCCTACCTTGTCAGTGGGTCATAATGCATAGCGGAGGCTCTGAGCTAGGAGACTATATTCAGATACCCAACTCCATCCATTGGCCCTGGGGTGGTATTCAACTCAATACTTAGAATAATAAAGAAATGTCAATAAATTACTAAGCTAAGAACTTTACCTATCTCGTATTAAAATCGCATTTTCGACATTTACATGCGTAAAGCCTCGGTCACAAATGCCATTACGAACTGCTACGAACGCCGTCTGAACGATTTTCAGACAATGGCAATTCGGAAAGACAATGGAATCACAGGGAGATTCGTAAGAACGCATCGTTCGTACGAATCTTTGTGACCGTAGCTTAAGACGAAATCTAAGTAAAATACTTACTGAAATGCATTGTGACATCACACGGTCAATCAAAAGTAATGCGCAATTAATGCGTCGCAATAAATACACGCTGATATAATTGTGAGCATGTTATAATACTGCGTTAGAAAACCATATGCCTGCCAATCAAGACCTCAAAATAATTGGCTTAAGTCTAGTAGGGAGCTTTCTTAAATTTAGGGTAAAATACTTAGCGAACAATTTCGAATACACCCCTTTACGGTTAAGGGCGCCATTTTAATTTGAGAGTAAACATCGCGTCATCAATGTTTTCAGATGCGCATTCATGGTTGCACGACTGCCTGTGCTGTGCGCTCACATCATATTGACATGTGTGCCATTTTAAATTACGAGTAAACAACTATTTTTACTCGTAAATTAAAATGGTGCCCATGTCTGCGCATGCGCACTCTTGTAACCGTAAACGCGTGTATTGAATAGCAAAATTGGCTAAGTATTCTACCTAAGCCGAAGACCAAGTAAAATACTCACATTTCAAATTTAACTATTGAATTGAATACCGGCTCTGGACTGTAACTCTTATTGACACAGCCAGAGACTGACAGAGTCGGGATCTGCTCAAGACTTTATGGCATCGTTTTGAAGTGTCAAATTACAGTCTGGCATGTAGACTACGTCATTATTAGTATTGTTGATACATGAAGTACTGATACATGTAGCTTGTGTTCGCAATATTGCACAGCACACCACACAAACACACAATAAAGGTAGAAAAGGAGATAATAATCTACCAGTACTACTTACCACAGTCTTCTTCATCTTCTCGATAAAGACAGTCAGAAGAACCGTCGCATACCCAAACCTGTCGTATACAATCGCCACTAAGTTCACACAGAAATTGGTCAGGCCCACATAATTGCTCTGTAGAAAAGAGATCAAATCCAAACAGATGCATTTATTACATTAATCCTGTTTAAAAAAAACTATTTATAGGAGCATATTTACCATCACACCATCGTCATTAAAAATCATCATCATGATCATCAACATCATCGTTATCTAGCTGTATCATCATCATAACCATCACCCACATCATCGACATCACGATAGTCATCATCTTTGTCAACAAGTACTAACATCAACATCATCATCACCTTTTTTGTCATCACCAGCATCAACACCTTCATCACTAATACTACCATATCATCATCACTATCTGTATATCATCGTTTTCAACATCCACACAAAACAATGACACTATATTTTTCTAAGAGCAAAAAACTCTGCAGTATAACTGCAGTAACTCTTCCATACCCGCCAATATTTGAAAATAAAAAGTAAGAATTTTTTGCACGGTATGCCTTCGAAAATAAGAAATCTGTACACATAACGGGAGTTTGCACATGCTGTGGCAGTGTAAATGGCAATACGCGGTAAATCTGTAGGCCTACAATCTGTAAAAGCAAATACAACATCGGTGCTCGATCATGCAGCCATTCAACCCACGCAATATGTGTACTCTCAAATTACAGCACATGATAAAACAAGCTTAATTAGGCTTTTTCACACACACAAACACACACATATACACATAATCAGAATTTTGAAAAATCAGAATATTCCGGATATTTCCTAAGGGTTAGCAGGTATGCTCTTCCCCTTGAACATAAACTGCCCCTTTGTCTCTACGGAAATTAAAGACATTATACACTACCTTCACAGTTGCTTTCATCGCTGTTATCTCCGCAATCTTGGAACATATCACAACGAAAGCTTAATGGTATGCATTTCCCATCACCCTCACATTGGAACTGATCATCAGCGCACGGAAGGAATGTCCCATCTGAAAATAAGTACAAAAAGGAGAATAATATATTTGTAACCTGTTGTAACCATGTAAATAATGTATCAAAGCAATCACATACACTGTTGGATATTTGTTTAGGAATGTCTTGATGAGACATGTACATTACAAACATTGTCGCTATAAACAGAATTTCATGAAAATTGACCTTTAAGACCAATGGATGTTTACCTGCAAACCCCAAATCTAATAAATACATGATCAATTTCCATCATTTTCCAGAAGAACGTATTTCCATGACTTTCCAGGTCTGCATGTCCATGGCCGGGCGACCCTGAATTGCAGTAATAGTCGGGTCAATATACGGTAAAAAACACCCCAACCCCCAAAAAATTGCAACTAAAGGTTTTTCAACGGTTTCTGGTAGTATTTGACCTCAGGAATAACATAGTAAAAGTATACCAAAATCGAAGGTTCAGAAATCTGTTTTTTCAAGATGGCGTCCAAGATGGCAGCCGATACCTAAAAATGTCCATAAATCACTTATTATCCATCATTGAGACATCATTTTGGGGTCTATCCCATGGTTTCGGGGGTCAGTGAATCCATTGAGACAAGTAAGAATGGTTTGTGATGGTCTACGAAGCCCCCAAATCCAAGATGGCGTCCAAAATGGCCGCCATAACATAACATTTGTCATAAGTCACTTATTATCCATTCGAGAGACGTAATTGGGGTGTCTATGCTATGGTTTTCGGGGTCATAGAATCCATTAGGATAAGTTAGAACTTTAAGCAGTGGTTCAGGAAACCACGAAATCCAACATGGCGTCCAAAAGGCCACAAAACCACTATGATTTCTCAATAGAGGGCGCACTTCTTGAACAGGAAATTAACTTATAATTTATCATTTTATCTCTCACCCTTATGGCGTCACACCCCCCCCCCCCCCCCAGAAAAAAGGTGAATTCAACTATTGACAGGTCATTGTCAACACTGAGGAAGTGGACCGAGGGGGAGGGGGGGGGGAGTGACAATGCCAAAGTAACAAGTTAATAATAATATCTAGACACATATTCATTATACCTTATAGTCATATTCATAGTCCTTAACCTCTGCAGGTATAGCGAAGTGTGCTACAGGCAGTACAGAAGTCGCAATGAATCAAATTAAGAACATTACTAGGTGCAGCCTCCGTATTTGACATCAGTGGAACCAGATGATTGACCTCTAATTTCCAGCCCCAGTCTGTGTCGTCCATGTCTTCTCAATTTCCATGCCATGACTTGGTAGCCTGGGGGGGGGGGGGGTACTCACATATTAAGAAATAAGGGAGTGTGCCGCTCTAATGGGTCACTTTTTCACCCCAAATCCCAAAAGATGGGTCCCATTTTTAACAAAAATATCCCTAAACATGAGTCTGTGTTTTTCAAAATTTCAAAAATTTTTCGGGTTTTTGCATTGTGAAAATAGTGAAAAATGGGCTTCAATTCAAGAAAAATAACCCCTAAACAAAAAAAGGGGTTCCGAGACTTGACCGGCACACCCCCGGCCAAACCAAATACTCCCCCCCCCCCTACCCGGGCTTGGTAGTATGTTCTGAAGGAGTGAATTTGGTGGAGGCTGGCGTAGGAGGAAGTTGCATTGGCAATTTTCTTGACGAACAAGTTGTATCGTAATGATGCAACTGAGTCATTACAGCTGTCACCAAACATGACAGACATTGCTTTGATACCAAGTTCCTCTAAGTTAGTTACTTTGGCTGACTTGGTAGAAGGAAAGTACCAGCACAGGATTTCAAAGTAAGGTTGCATTTCACAAGCTTCTATTTTTTCCTATTCCAAATATCCGGGAAGTCGAATCGCAATCGGTGTAGGCATCCAGAAAAAGTAGTTGTGAGCACAGATTCCGTACCCAGGTCCACTTCCAACTGCTTACAGTTCTACACCTTCGGGGCCTTGGCTGCATTATAAGAGTGGAAGTATAGTTCCCTGCTATCTGTTCCAAGGATCTTGCGAAGTCCAGTTCCTTTCATCACGGTACCGATTGCTTCCAGCAAAATCATGAAGGTCTGGAAGCAACCTAATTGCAAGTCAACCCCGTTTAGTGTGCTATTCTGGGGTGCATCGATGAGTTTAGCTCAGCGGCCTTCCAATATGCTGTTTTCATAGTCTCGTTCAAAAGGAAAGACAAAGCTACGAATTTGGAAGAGATTTCGAAAGTAACAATTGTACCTGAACAAATCATAAATGCTGATTTGCTTTGCTGCTTCAACGGTTCCTGGTAGTTTAAAAAACAAGGGAATTTTAAGTAGCAGAGGTGTTCGGCTTTGAGCTCAGTCAGTTCCTATCTGCACTTTTAGAGGCTAGGAATGTCTTTCGGAGGGCTAAGAAGCCTCAGCTAGCTCATGCTATAACTTATCATGCAGTAAAGTGTCGAGTGAAGCCGTGAAAGGACTCAGAACAGTATGCTCTTGATGATGGTTCCTTGGTACATCGGATTCCATAGAAGACAGGAGACAGCTATGCCACAATAGTACGATCCTATGCAGATTTGACAACCCCCCCCCCACGATATGGTTCTGCAAATGTAGTTTTTGACGGCTATGGTGGAGGGCTGTCAATTAATGATAGTACACACCATCGACGTGGGCAGAATGCCCATCCAGTTGTCAGATTCAATGCAGAAACAGTATTCTCAGGCAAGAAGGATGAGCTTTTATCAAGAGACTGCAATAAGCAGGGACTCATAAATCTCATTAGTGAGGAACTGAGAAAGGGTAACTGCTCCGTCATCAATGTATCCGGGGATGCAGATACACATTTTGCTATTAAAAAAGCTGTATTCGATTTTTCTCGTCGTCAGTCTACTACTCTGATTTGAGAAGGCACTGACATATTGGTGTTACTCTTGCATTACGCGGATATAGATAACAGGGTACTATACTTCCGGTCTGACAATGCAGCCAAGGCTCCGAAGGTGTATAACATTGAGCAGTTGAAAGTGGACCTGGGTAATAAATCTATGCTCACAACTACTTTTTCGATATGCCTATACACTGGTTGCGATTCGACTTCCAGGACATTCGGAATCGGAAAGAGAGCAGTCTTCCAGAAGCTTGTGAAATGCAGCCCCACTTAAAAATCCAGTGCTAGTACTTTCCTTCTTCCAAGTCAGCCAAAGGAACTTATAGAGGAACTTGGTATCAAAGCAATGTCTTTCATGTTGGTTGCTGCTGTAATGACTCACTTCCATCATCACGATACAACTTGTTCGACAAGAAAATTGACAATGCGACTCCCTCCTACGCCAGCCTCCATCAAATTCCACTCCCTCAGAACATACTACCAAGTCGTGGCATGGTGGAGAGTGAATTGTAATACATGGACGTGACAGACTGGGGCTGGAAATCAGAGAACATTCAAACGGTTCCAGTGATGTTGAATACGGAGGCTGTACCTACTAATCTTCTTAAGTTGATTCATTGCAACTACTGTGCTGCCCCCCCCCCCCACTCAGAGGTCGGAATGACCGCATGCGTGTTGCCAAAATGTCCAGTAAAGGGGTACTTTTCGTGCAACAAAGTCCGGCCCGAGAATTGTAAAAAAAAAGGGGTGTATTTGACTTTTCACCCGGAGATTTCTTTAAAAAGGGGGTGTTTTTTCTTTTTTTCTCTCATCTCTTTGGACTCCTGAGAAATTATTCCGAATTTAGGGGGGTACATTGAGCATTTTTCCTGATTTAGGGGGGTCTCCAAGGCAGGAAAAGCCCGCGAAATGGGGGGTTCGGAAATATTGGCAGTCCTCAAATAGGGGGTGCCTTTCAAAAAGAGGGAACGAGCATAACATCAAATAACATTGAGTGGGGGGGGGGGGGGGGTGGGGCGGGCTGTGCTGCTTGTAGCATACTTCGCTCTACATGCATATGTTACGGACTACCATGTAACAGTGTGTGTGTGTGTGTGTGGACCTTGCCAACTTGATGTATGCCACAATCCATAGAATGAGGCAGAAGATGATTTATTCTTACTCAAGTACACTCCTCATCAACATGAAGGTACATGAAGATCTGAATGTGTATTCGCTATAAGATGACATGAACAACACAAGGTTTTAACATTTTAAATCGTATAGTGGGTGGGTATTATGAATGTGTGTCTAGATAATATTATTAAGTTGTTACTTTGTCATTGTCACTCCCCTCCCCCAGTGTTGACAATGACCTGTCAAAAGTTGAATTGACCCCTTTTCTAGGGGGGAGGGGGGGGGGGGGAGGTGACACCATAAAGGTGAGAGAGAAACATTATAAGTTAATTTCCTGTTTATAAAGTGCGCCCTCTATTGAGAAATCATAGTGGTTTTGTGGCCCTTTGGACGCCATATTGGGTTTCATGGTTTCCTGAACAACTGCTTAACGTTCTTACTTACCCTAATGGATTCTACGACCCCGAAAACCATAGAATAAACACCCCAATTATGTCTCTCGGATGGATAATAAGTGACTTATGGCCATTTTGATGTTATGGCGGCCATTTTGGACGCCATCTTGGATTTTGGGGTTTCCTGATCCACATGCTTAACGTTCTAATTTATCCTAAAGGATTCTATGACCCCGAAAACCATAGCATTGTCACCCCAATTATGTCTCTAGGATGGGTATAAGTGACTTATGGCCATTTTTTATGTTATGGCGGCCATTTTGGACGCCATCTTGGATTTGGGGGTTTCGTAGAATATCACAAACCATTCTTACTTGTCTCAATGGATTCTCTGACCCCCGAAACCATGGGATAAACACCAACATTATGTCTCTAGGATGGATAATAAGTGATTTATGGCCATTTTTAGGTATCGGCGATCATCTTGGACGCCATCTTGAAAAAACAGCTTTCCGAATCTTCGATTTTGGTATACTTTTAGTATGTTATTCCTGAGGTCGAATACGACTAGAAACCGATGAAAAACCTTTTGTTGCAATTTTTGGGGGTCAAACCATATCTTGACCAGACTATAACTAGAATAAATCCACATAATTTCCAGGAGATTGATCGCTACCGCTATTAATGTGGTTGGGGTTTTGGGGCCTGATTTGGTTTTATATTAGGTGTACATGACGATAGGTGAAGAAGTAAAAGAAGAAGAAAAAGAAAAAGACGGCACAGACGAAGGAGAAGGAGAAGAAGGAGTTTCAAATTGATTGTGGCAGGAATCTGGAACATCGCAATAGGAAAATTTCATAAAATAAGCTTTTAAGAACATAATTTTCTAGAGCAACAAATTTAAAGAAAAAAAAAGACTTATAAACTTGTTCACATGGAAATGGTAATTAGTAGTTCATCTTTCAATGCCTAATGTAACCTATGCTTTATTTTCATTCAGAGAATTTCACTTCTGTCCCAGGCATCTGAAGAATAACTTGATAAGGAGGGTTAACAATCCTTTGAAATTGAGGTTCTATAAATCTATAACGCAGATAAATTGTGCACATTTGCTGGGGAGTGGTCTGTGTGCGGACAAAGGGCAGACAGCGAAACACGCGTGGAATTCAACGGTCACCCTAGATTTGTTACACATAACATCATCTGAGCAGCAGCAAACAAATTTGATTGGCCAAAAAGAGACTCTCCTTACAGGGAACAGCTGTTATAAGTCATCGGTTTATACCTGATCTGAATATTGTTTACGATTGCAAAATATATATATATACAACATTGCAACAACAAAAAATTACAAAAAACAAAGCAAAACAAAACAAAGTAAGATCTGGGCCCCGTCTTACAAAGAGTTACGATCGATCCAAATCAATCGTAAGTACTTCAATCATTCGCAAGTTTGCAGTCTCCTATCTCTTATGTACATAGTTACGATTGATATCAATCGCAAATAAGTTACGATTGATATCAACTCTTTGTTTGTAGACGGGGCCCTGATGTATCCCAAATCATCTGAAAACAATCAAGAATTACGTCTACACCCACTCCCATTTGAACGAGAAAGGCTCACCAGGTGGCTGGTCGACTGCCTCAAGGGTGATATCATATCCTTGTGTGCCCACGTGGATGTTCGAAAAGAACTCTATGAAGAGCTCGTGACCGCTTGATAGGATACTCGATGGGAATGACGTCTTGTGTGTGTAGACCTCCAAGATCTGACCGAAGTCATGCGTATCTGTGCCGTTGCCAAAGGTGAGGTATGACAAGAGGCTGAGCTCAAGTGTGTTGAACGTCACGTTAATCACCTTCCCTGGAACCGTTGAAACATGGGTCACTGTGTATGTGTTCGTCGGGTAGTCATCAGGGAAATTCGGCGACATCAACATTGTGGTGTTTCCGTTTAAGAAGATATATTCTAGGTTGATAGGAAAGACATATATCAAATAAGGTGATTTCCTCCTTCTTTCCATGACATTGGACTATGAAATAAAATTTGTTATAGAATTTGCCTTTTCTCCCTCTCTTGTTTATTTTTGTTTATTCATCTATTCGATTATTTATTTTTTCCACATTTATTTTGGATTAAAAATATCACCTAGCCTGTTCCTGAACAGCGTGTAAACTGAATGAGTGTGCAGACACGAGAACCCATGTTTTTGCAAGGTCAAAATGACAGGGCCATTTCTCGTGAAAACGACGTTGTTTGTTCTTGCTCGATTTGTGATGAGATTTGTAGCACATTTATTTTTTCTTTAGAATAAGAGGAATAATATCAAATCAAGCATGAAAGGCATGTTAAAGAAATCATTGTGAATTTCAAGTCAAATTGTACATGTTGGTGCTCCCATCATAACTGTATGTTGGGGTGTTCCAAAGTTGAGTTCATCATGGGATTTGTAGCACACTTATTTATTCTTTCGAATAAAAGGAATAATATCGAAAATAATATCGCTAGTGACATTCGTTTGTCTTACAATGTATGGTCAACACGGGATCTAAAAGATCACGACGTTTCGAGTGCCGCTGCTACACGTCAACAACTAACACGCCCAAGGATCCCATTCCTCAACACAGTATAGGATATGATAGATCCTACATCGGTGAAACTGCCCGTCCGATATCAGAAAGAATCACTGAGCATAAGAGGGACGTCAGGCTCTGCCGAACTGACAACTCAGCCGTAGCCGAACATGCTTGGGATAACCAGCATCAGCCAGACTAGGGCGGGGTTCAATGCCTTTCCCAAGAACGACATTGGTACACACGGATATTTAAAGAAGCTATCAATATACGTCTCAATCCCAATAATTTCAACAGAGACAACAGGATCGATATCCCCGAATTTTGGATGCGTAAGATACGCCGCCATGACACTTCCCGTCCAGCCGGCCCACATCGAGCCAGCGGCCCGTTGATTGGTTAAGCACCCGTGTGCTTCGACCAATAGGCCTTGTCCGTTATTGTTTCAATTATTTGACCGCCGGTCCACCCGGTCCACCCATAGAGTATAAAACACGCTCCCTTAGTGACCATACATTGCGAGACAAACGAATGTAACTAGCGATATTATTTTCGAAACTATATCTGCAATGAGTAATATATTTAGCATTAAAAGGAATGATATCAGATAAAGCATAAGGAATATGAGAGAAAACATGTTACCCTGTAACGGGAATACCTGTTTTATTGCAAGCCACTGGCTTTTAATTGCGATTTCCCAGGCACGATGTTTGTATTATATATTATATCTTTGTATTTATGAAATCAATAAATTTAATTTAATTAAATTGAATCATCATATAAAGCATTAGAGAATTATAACAGAACATCTTGGTCGATTTTGAGTCAAATGACAGGTTCAAAGACATAGGGCTTATCAGCATACCTGTATTTTGTGGCGTTCCACAGTTGAGCTCGTCATCAACACCCAACAAACAGTCACTAAAGAAGTTACATCTGAAGGTCTTTGGGATGCACTGACGACCAGGACACTCAAACTCATGCACAGTACAATCCCCTGCAAGCCAAACATATTCAATATGATTAACAACAACAGCATGGATGATAAATGATAATAATAAAAATAAAAACAACAACAATAGCAATAATGATAAAGAGCCAGCGGCCTGTTGATTGGTTGAGCACGCTTTTGTTTCCGTCCAGCAGGCGAGCCGAGCCAGCGGCCTGCCGATTGGTTGAGTATCCTTGTGCGTCGGCCAATAGGCCTTGTGCGTTATTGTTCCAATTATTGATCGAATTAATTGGCTGGCGGTCCGCCCGTAAAACACCCCTGCTTACATTAATTGAATCACCTGATGAAGTGTTGCAGCCGCGCACGAAACGTCGTGATCTCTTAGATCCCGTATTGACCATATATTGCGAGACAAACGAATATCACTAACGATATCATTTTTAATAGTTTGATTAGTTATATTGTTTTGAATTTAGGGTTAGGGTTATGGATAGGGCTATGGTAATATACCAGTTTTTATGATATCCTGTACCATTTGGGGTTAAATATAGATGTCCTGTTAATATACCATGTAAGGTTATATATACACATATCTACATATTTGACAGGAGTTATAGACGTTGTATTTATCATGTCCTCATCGTTATTTATAATCATTCTACCCCAGTCATTCTTACTTCTCTAACTTATGCATGCATGTTACTTTCGCCAGGATACAGCTTAAGGCATGCGGCCTGTCATTTTTAATAACTCACATACGTACGTCCGACAAAGGAGTTAATAAAGAAAGGTCGAAGATTCGTCAATCTGTCGACCAGTTGAATCTGGTGTCACACATGACACTTCGCATCTACGTGGCCTAGTGGTCAAGGCACAGGTATTTTGAACTAGGGGCCCGTGTTCGAATACCGATTAAGACATTTATTCAACATTTGCAAAAATGTCTAAAAGGAATACAGGCAACCATTTTTGTCTAATTTACTTTCCCATTAAAAATAAATAAAAGTATCAAGTCATGATAGATTGGACGGTGCTAAAGGAAGCGTTCTAACACAACCTAATAATGGGCGGAGTATCTTGTTGAAAAATTTGAGGGGGGGGGGGGGTGGGGAGATGCTCATACTCGAGATATTATGACATGCTGAAATAGAGGTTCACGCTTATTTCGTATATCATAAATTAATTTGAAAAATGTGAACAACATGAAAGAAGGGAGAAATAGATGTCAGATAGTGGCTTTATAGTCGGAAAATTGAAGGAGTTCGGGGATGTAATGCCACATTTTTTTTTTTTTTGGGGGGGGGGGGGGGGTGTTGTTGTGGCTAAGGGCTGGTTGTGACTTACCACAGTTAAGCTCATCCTCCCCCATTTCACATTCATCGATGTAATTACACCTAAGCGATTCATCGAAGCATGTACCGTCATTGCAGCGAAACAATCCTTCTTCACAAGGCGGTCCTGGTGGAGAAAACAAAAACGAAAACAAAAAACTATCATTAAGGCACTGGCAGTGACGTCACATTGCCTTAAAAGGGCAGTCCACGTTCTCGTCGTGCAGAATTTAAAAGTCCCTAACAGCTAGCGTGATGACGCGTGATGTGGCACAAACGGCCGTCCATACTACAATCATGCAGAGTATAACATGACGTCTATTGTGTGCACTTCCGATCTACAGTCGCTCGTATCGCACGCACGGATCATAGCATGAATACAGCAACTAGAAGTCATCCCAGGGAGTGGGATACTTCGCGGCTCGGGACGATGCTCCGCATCGTCATTGGGTACCCCCCCCCCTGAGAAAAAAGCTAGATCCGCACCTGACACGCGCATACACACGCACAGAGGCATTGCATATAGCCGCAAGAGGGATGGGGAACCCTTTTGGTGATAAGGCATTATTAACGTAAGACAAACAGATTAACAAACATATAACAAAATACAATTATACACACCTGGCTTCACATCTTTTGGTAGAGACACGCCATTGACATTTATCGGAACACCCACTGTAAACAGAAGAAAGAGATAGCTTTTTTATTGATTGATAATTCAATATTTTTTTCTTGGAATGAAGCCTTTTTTTGCTGCTCCCTCCGAAATAAGGTTTGTGATGTATTTATATAAAATCATGAGCAAATTAAATACCGACAATCTGGTAGTCATTGAGTTACATGTATTGCACTAATTTATGGCGGAACGTGGTTATTTGTCGAAAAAAAGAGTGAGTGAGCACTAACTTTTTTTTTTGGCCCTCGAAAATTTGAAAATCGCATCCCCCCACCCCTTGAGCACCAGGGGAGGGGGCCCGTCTCCAAATAAAGGTAAAATTAACATGTTTGTACCTTTTTTTTCCCAGGGGAGGGGGCCTGGGCCTCCTCCTTTGATCCGCCACTGGGTACATGAGAACTTGTCTACATCAATAACCCACTACTTGTAATGGCCAAAATTAAACTGATTGAATCTTTGTGCAGCACATGACGCCATTTTTTTGCTGCTCCCTCCAAACAGAGGTCTGTGATCCATTTATGTAAAATCAAAAGCGAAAAAAATACCGACAAATTGGTTGTCATTGATGTACATGTATTACATTTATTTATGTCGGATCGTGGTAATTTATCGTAAATATACGAGGATCATAATAATTAACAGTGATAAAAACAATTAACAGCCAGTATTTACAAATATATGCATTAACAAATATACAAATCGACTCTTATAGATACTATGTCCCTTTTGCAGTCAACATCAAATTCTGTAGAACTTTGTAGGAATTAGGAATATGTCATGTATGTCCTATCCCTGAAATGTAAACATAAGCAGTGTCCTAGTATTTAAGTTATGCAAGAAAACCCGTTTACCTTCTAGACTTCACTGTCAGACACTATTGAGTGACTGACTGACTTTCTTTTCTTTGGGAATAAAATACGTGAAATGAGCTGTGAAGGGTACATGAGCATTTGTTTATAACAATAACACACTTCTTGTAGTGGCCGAAAACAAACTGATTGAATCTTTGTGCAGTACAAAACGTACGACCATTCGGTACAAGGGTCTGAAAATCAGACTATTTAATTAACGAACGCCTGTCTGGAATCTCCGCAAAATGCGAAAAAATTAAACAGCGTCGATTTGATTCCCCTTCTCTTTTCTGCTTCCATTTAATTTTGTGGATGCAACTTAAATTCGGCGTAAATATTCATAAATGAACGATACACGCCAATACAAACTAAAACACAACGAGCTCGCTAAGTTCGATCCAATAACTCACGGTCGTTATTTTCCCACAAAAAAGACATTTTCAAGCCTTGGTAGGCCTATTATCTTCTTAAATGCCGTTGGAATTCAACCTTTTCATTCTTTTAGGCCTGCAAATTGGAGATAGTACCTTTAAACTAAAAAAAGAAATGATTAGAAACAAATATTACCACTTTGGACTTCAACGGTTACATCTGAAGATCCAAGTACAGCATTATTGGAAAGAGATGTCATGACAGCTTCGTTGGTGGCAGCAGACACCTGGTTAGCTAATATCAGTTGAAGGTCTGTAGCTGATGTAGTGTTTGGATTACCCGTAAATAAAGACATTGCAATATTACCACCTGAGACCATGATCATTGCATCTACAACGACACTCCCTTGACTAGAAGGAGAAGGAGAATAATGATAATGATCCGTATATCGAAAGTAGTAGTAGTAGTAGTAGTAGTAGTAGTATAGTAGTAGTACCACTTCCACTACTACTACTAGTAATACTACTACTTCCATTACTATTAATAGGCCTACTACTAATTCTACTTCTAATACTGTTACAACTACTACTAATAATAATAATGAACATAAGAAGGAGAAGAAGAAGGACAAAAAGAAGAAAAAAATGACCTTTTCAAAGCATAAATGCTTATACACAGAAATAAAAGTATTGTACAAATAACGAATATTTACTATGACTATGATCACATCCCAAATATTAGTAACTGCTACTGCTGTAACTAAACGCAATACTGTTACAAAAGAAGATCTATGATTATGCGAAAGAATCTTGCTTATCAAAATTATCTCCGTATTTCAACGATCTGTGGATATGTAGGGTTGTTTGACCCGTGTGTTGTAAACTACGAAGTGGTCTCTAAAAAATTACAAAACGGTTTGTTTACTGAGAATAATATAATAAAGCTTTCATGGCACTGGATGAAGTCACTATTTTGAGCTCACCGCAAATCTTGCAATCTCGATCTCTGCAATCCGAGTTCTTTTTAGCACAATTATTACACTAGATATTGTAAATAAGATATCATTAATGGATCTATATACAAATGACATTTTTCTTTAAAATATATGTTCATTTCTAAGGGACATGAATACTGAATATAAGAAGAATAGAAATACCTCAATCCAGTCACAGTTACATTTGTCACAAATCCACCAAGCTGATCATTATTCTGTAACCCATTCATCATCTAAAAAAAGAAAGAAATCATTAAATTGTGATTTAAAATTATTATTTGTAAATCTAATCTTCTGTACTAAAACCCCCCATTAAGTTCAGTTGATAGAATATTCGTGTATACACACACACACACATACACACACGCACACACACACACGCACACACACGCGCACACACACACACACACACACACACATGTATATAACATGTATATGTATGGAGAATGAAAGGATCATCATGCATGTATCATGAAATAATACCAGGAAAATGTTAAGAAAATATAGTCCGTGAAAAAATATTAACAAACACCAGTCAAAACACTGAATCACTTGACAACAAATACAAGTTCTTTAAAATGCGCTCCAAAAAGAAATCTCTTCCCCCCCCCCCCCGCCCATTTTTCACATTCCTCCCATTTCCTTATGAATTAATATCTCATTACTACGTCACGCTCTATTAATAACTATGTCCGCGACGTGGTTCAGTGAACATATTTACAGTGTATTAAGGTAAGGCATGACGTTTCATTTATTCGAAGGTTCATGAATTGCAGTATCATTATTCCCAAAAAATATATTCAAAAGACATTGATCACGAAATATGATATAAAAGAATCTTAATATAGAATTCCTATTGTGTTTTCTGTTTTCATTTGCGATTGGTTGTTCGTAAATTATGTCTTTTTATTGCATACTATATTGCCTGTTAATATTGCTGATGGAAAAATGCTGCACCCTTTCGAAGACAAGATTCAAGATTCAATGTATACAGTAGATTTGCGGGTGCACCATGTGAGAGAGAGAGAGAGAGAGTGTTGAGGAGTCCTGAAAAGGACTCTGACTCAGTAAAGATTCAATATAATATAAAATTATCAAAAAGTACGCCAAGGTGACTGTCAATATAAAAGATGGTAACAGGGAAATAAAACTGGAATTCTGTTTTGTTATCATACAAGTATTGCTTTTGACAAATTTTGTTACAGATCACAGAATTGTTACTGATGATAACATTTTATGGACCGTATTCATGGTCTCTTAACTCCAATTTCGTTAGATATTTTACCTGAGTTTCTGCGTTGCTAGCAAAAGCCATGAATTCTGGCGATGACTGGTCATTGTACGCTGGAATGAATGTAACTCCGTTTAGCGTAGCAGACAATTCAATATCCACATCACCTGCAGAATTGAAAATGCTAAACATAATTCTATCTCATTTTGTGTGAAGTACATAGTAATCTATGGAAAGTTTTGTCATAAGCTTATACTGTTCTGCTTGTTATTTGTTCAGTTGAAAATGTATAGATGTTTACTATGTGAATGACAGAAATAAGATGAGACGTATACTGCAGTATTAATTACGTGAAAAATAAAAGCATGGTCCTTGTTGCAGCTTTGTTAAAAGATGATTAGCAGAACCAGATTACATGGAAAATTGAGAAGAACATATATGTTGAATCTACGGCAGAAAGTGGTAATGGAAGCAAGCATTAATCTTTATAAAAAAAGATATATAATCTATTTATTCAGAATCGTAGTTTTCCTATACAAATGTGACTTTTTACTCCTTCTCAATCTCTGTTCATCTAATTCTTTTGAAAAAACACTCACTCTTCTTCGAAAGATATATCGAAAACTTAAAAGAAAAAGACATTGCCAATATGAAGTATTGGAATAATTTACCCTTTTTAGATCTATGTGTTTTTATTTAAGAATAAAATTTCAAGTTTACCATTTACCCCCCCCCCCAAAAAAAAGAAAGAAAGAAAGAATGTTGTTTTGTATGTCAGCAGTTCCATGTCCTTATATACTATATTTAAAATATGAGCTTCAAACATCACTTCTTGAAATAGAATTTGCAAGTTTAAATACACTCCCAATTAACATAAAAGTGACTTGTGGATAGACTACTCGACGCCCTTCCAGGGCGCTCGCCTAAGAAATGGCCCCATGGAACCAAACGGACTTGGGTTCAGTGTGAGCAGTACTGTACTATGGTATTCTTTATTTTCTTCATACTCCTTATCCATCAGCCCATAGAATACAGGATTTTTTTTCTTTCGAGGTTGATTTTTTACACATTCTAGCTGTAAACATATCATTTTGTAGGTGATTGCTACATTTTTAAGCTGGAAATATGGCATGAACTTACCAACGACTACTCCAGGAACGACAGTTGGATCCATGGTAGCTAGGAAGGAACAGGCAAATAATATAATTTGTTTAGCGGATAGAATTTATTGGACATAATTTTACGATATACTTTAGTGCAATAAACTCCTCTATTCGTGTTATTTTTCCTCACGAACTATTGATACAGACATGTTCAAAGAAATTTCACGATATTATATACCGTTTAGCTTATCATAATCAAACTCGAACAAGGAAGAGGCAAATAATAATCGCTGAGAATAATTATCCTTAATAATAATGGAAGAATACGGAAAAGGGAGGGGGTGGCAAAATGGGCAATGATTAGTTTCATTTTGTTTCTATTATTAAAAAACGAACAATAAACATTTCTTCCACAGATTAAGTATGTGTGTGTGTGTTTATGTGTGTGTGTATGGGGGGGGGGGTGTCTTTTGCCACCATTGCAAATAGTTGTACATACAGATTTGTTTTGTTCTGTTATAGGATACAATATTTACCTGTTGGCGTCGCTCGTGTTGGTGCCTTTGTTGTCGCTCCTTTTACTTGTGGACCTGTGATCATGTTGAAGACAGCAGTGAAAGCATAAAACAAAAATGTTAACAAGATCCCTAGGTGTTGTGGTCTAGGTCTCCAGACTATGAAGCTCATGGGCATGGATTCGATCCCTGCCACACCCGCTAATGTCCTTTAGAAAGAACATACACGTGGAACTGTCCACCAGGTGAAGTAAATGGGTACCCGGTCGGTAAATATTACTCGAATGCTTAAGAAATAATCACGATCATGGTAATTCAGCTAAGGCCGGATAACAATATGACTAATGGGCCTTCAAAAGCGCCAGGCGGGAATTGTGGCACACCGGGATTTGAAATCGAGTGAATTAAAAAATAAATCCTAAATTCAGTCGAAATGGTGCAAATGTTAAAGCAAAATAAAGAAAACAGTCCTTGTTATTTCGCTACATTACAACACTTTCCAGGACTGTGGACTGCAAAGCATGACTTACCAACAAAGATGACGAGGCAGATCATCGCGATCAAGATGAGGACGACGACTGTTACCAGAATGAAGGCCTTAAGCAAGGTTTTAGCTCTCGATTTCTTCTTCCGAGCTTCTCCGATGGTGCTCGTATCGCCATCCTCGGGCTGACGGAAAACTTTAGGGTCACGGTTAGGATCATAGATGTCCTCAAGCTCAATACCTCTGATGATAGGCTTGACATCTTGACGTCCTGTTAGATGTAGAGAAGAAACAAATGAATTACCAACCAATTATTGTTTTCCATCCTTCTCTATTATTTACATTCTACCCAACCGGAAAGACTGTCAACCATCAACTGCATGCAATTTGAATATCCTGCGTCACCCACTTTACAATCCAAACAAATTCATTAAATTAAATTGGTATAACATGTCATCTGCATTGCCCGTTTAGATGACTGATTAATCATGCAATGAAACCTTCTCACAATAGTTAAAATAGTCTGTTATTATTAGATTAGATTCAATAGAAAATGGGATCTTTATTATATGGATTACTTTGCATTAAATCGACACACTTGTGATATAGGAATAGCGAAATTGATGTTCTTACAAATATAATGACACCAGGCCATACAGTAGTAATAGTAAAAGTAGTTATAATAATGGTAGTAATAGTAGTAGTAGTAGTAGCAGTGGCGTACGCAGGATTTTTTTCGATGGGGGGGGGGGGGGGTCAACGATTTAATGACAAATTTCGCAACGACTCAGCCAGCTGGTGAATAAGCAGAGGGGGGGGGGGGGGTAAGAGAAAAAAAATTTCCCCCGAAAATGTGAAGATTTGGCCGACCGATATTTCGTTCAGTTGGTGGGGGGGGGGGGGGGGTGAAAGGTCACCTTTTTGGTCAACCTTTAGCACCAAAAAAAAATTGAGGGAGGGGTTTTCCTCCAAAAAACACACACATAACAAAAGTGGAGGAGGGGGGGGGGAGTTGTTGACCCCCATACCCCCCCCCCCTCCTGCGCACGCGCCTGAGTAGTAGTACAAGTAGAAATATATTGATAGAAGTAGTGTAGTAATAGCAGTAATAGTAGTAGTATTATTTTTATTTCTATTATTAGTAGTAATAGTAATGGAAGTTGAAGTAGGCCCTAGTAAGAGTAAGTAGCTGTAGTAGTAGCAGTAGCAGCTGTAATGGCAGCTAGTGTAAAGCCGGGGTAATAATGCGCCTTGGAATAGAACTTCTAGATAAACGGCGCTATAGATATGCCTATAATTATTAGTAGAAGTATAAGTAGAGGTAGTTATAGTAGTAGTATTAGTAGTAGTAGTAGTAGTAGTAGTAGTAGTAGTAGTAGTAATATAAATAGTAGTAGTAGTAGCTCAAGTAACTCAAGAAAAATCTCCCAGAAACTCCACGCAGACACCTAAAGGGATAGTTGAGTTCTGTTTCCAGACCGCAAATGCATTCAGAGTGCATGGCTATTTCTCTTATTCTTATCTATGACATTTCTAGTGCCCTTTTAGAACATAAATTTTGCTATGAAGGCAATTTTTTAGACCCCAATAGGTGTGAAATTTAGCCTATACGATCATACCAATTCAGCTCCACTTTAAAAAAAAATACGGTGACTGTTAAAAATAACAATGCATGGGCCGGCTGGTTGTGTGTAATCTAACCAACACGAAAATGCCAACAAAAAAGACAACATCAGCATTGGCTGAAATACGACGTAACAGGCGTTTTCTTTTCTTCCAACGGCTTTTTCAAATTATCTAATATTTGTGGTGATACAAAAGTATTAAAAATAGTTATATTTATGGATATTTCACCCGTCTCTAAACCGATTTTGATCAAACAAAGATAATTTTGTCATTTAAATTGTATGTTCTTTCAAATTTGACACTCAGTTTTGTTATTATCTCACAAACAAATATTATATAAAGCGCCCTCTCCAACAAAACTCAACTATCCCTTTAACACCTATCTTTCTCATGTGGGTATTATCATGGACCTAATACAAATGGCTACATGTATGTAAAACTCGCAAACGAGGGTGATTATTACCCATTCACTTATGCACTTATAGAAACACTGTACCCCATTTTTAAAATAACTTAGGATTGTTTGTGAACTTGCCGGCCTTGCCCCCCCCAACTCTGGACCTACCCCCCATGCCCCCTCCCCTCCCCATCTTGAAAATTGCAATACTCAGAGGGCGGCCGTTTGATATTGATAATGATTATTTACCCAGAGGCCTTATACTGTTTTAACGGAAAAAGAAGAAAGGAAAAGAGGATTTCATAATAGTTCTTACCTAGAAAATATAAAGATACATAATGATATCGAATTTCAGTGTGTGAGTAATCCTGTAACTCGGGGTAGGTAACAAAGTTAAAAAGGAGTTAAACAGGAATTGAAAGTGAAATAAAATGGGGTTTACATGGACAGTTGTGTATTAGTATAGAGGGCGCTAAAAAAAATATTTTGTTAAGGGTGAATCTTGCAAAAAGGGTTCTAGGACACCTACCCCTTGACATCCACCCCGGCGGAACCACCACAGTCAACTACCCCCTAGGGCACTACCCCTTGGGCATCCACCCTCTAGGACGACTACCCCCCCCCCCCCGCCGGGGGCGTATATTTTATTTACACGCCAGCGAGGGGGATTTCTAGATTAATTCCCCCAAAACCGCTCGCGAAGACCGGATAGACTGGATAGAAGAGCTCGCTAGTGCTTATACGCTAGTGTGAATTTACATCGAGGACAACGTTTGCTTAACTTTTTCTTGAAACACTTGAATGGTTATGGAATCTGTTTGTTTTTTATCTTCAAATATTAATATTATTCTGCATCAAATATAACATATTTGATTTCTACTGTGGTATGTAAAGGCATAAACTTACGTTAATACATGTACAGTACATACAAATATAGATTTTTAACCAAGAAGGTGCACTATGGTAAAACATTTTAACAAACACATCAACATATTACCTTGACATCTCATCACCATAGCCATTGTAAAACCATATATTAATGATACATGTAAAATATAGATTGAAGCAATTCTCTTCCATTGGCTGTATCCTGAGTGTGATTTATATAACGGATTTTGAGTAATATTTGCATCTACCTGTTGAAGAATATATATAGTGCATGAAGTAGAATATATGGAGATGTGGGGAATCAAGTTGGAGCTCAATTGGAAGGGAGTAATGAGAAATATTAAAGCAAGAGAAACTGAGAGATGAGGAAAGCAAGAAGAAGTTATTGAAGTTGAGAGATGACTCGCGAGATAGCCTTGTAATAATGAATCCTTTTTTAATGTTGTCTTGAGAGGAAGTAGACGATTTTTTGAGATTAGGGTAAGTATTAGAAAAAACGGAAATAGAATTAATGAGAAAGTTTTTTTTTTAATCTTCAATCGAGATCAATACATATAATTAGATGGGGAATCCCCAACTGGCATTCATGTGCGATGTCACACCTACGCGTAACGCATGTCCCACACAAAAACAAATGAGAAGAAAAGAGACAATAATGTAAAAGAGAAGAAGATAGAGGATATGGGTAAAGTAGAGAGACAGAGAGAGAGAGAGAGAGGGAGGGAGGAGAGAGAGAGAGAGAGAGAGAGGGGGGGGTGGGGGGGGGGGGGGAGAAAGAAAGAAAGGAAGGAAGGAAGAACATGAAACTTAAATTTACAATTAGGCCTACAGATTACATTTCCGACTGAGTTGGCTTGACATATTATGGGCCTAAGAAGTCTGCGGACGAAAGTACAACAATACGAAAACAGAAGTAATATAAAATTGCCTTTAAGAGAGAAAGAAAAGTTATTTCTAGAATAAAATGAAAGGGGCTATGTGACTTTCAAGGAGGAATTAACAATTTCTATCGCTCGTAACGACTATTTTGTATTTCCTATTTTTTTATAATTCAAGAACTTCCTGGGGCTCCGCCCCAAGACTCCCGGTAAAGGCTAATTATTTACACAATTCCTTGCTGTCTGCTGCCTCGAGATCACTGGACTGTGACAGGAGCGAAGAAAGGTAACAATGTATAGCAAGAATCCCTCACTATTCAGTGAAGGATTGATACTTTTTGAAAGGTAACAATGTATAGCAAGAATCCCTATTCAGTGAAGGATCGATACTTGTTATTATTAAAGACTCCCGACAAAGGCTCTCCCCCTGCACCCCATCCGTAAATATAGAAGTGGTCCCCAGGACAACCTTTTGTGGTATAACATTGGAGAGAGTGTGAGTCTTTTGTAGTTTAAGCTTCTAACAACCACTCCCGTGGACCTCGTATTATTCACACGTTTTGCTGTCTGCTGAACATTAAATTGCATTGCCCCCATTGTGTGCTATTTTCAAAGAGCACATAGAGCCTTCAGATTGGACATTCCATCTCATAAAATTGTCTATAAGAGAGAAAGAAATAACCTCCCTTTCTCTCTTCAAGACAATTTTCTCTCTTGAAAATCGAATATAACCTCTATCTTACTGTACTGATAGTGTTAATGTACTGAAATTGTTTTGTCAATGGATGCTGTGTGTACATGTGTGTGTATTTTTACGCTCGCTGTGCTGATTTCTGCTCTCATATTCAACAGCAAATTGCGAAATAAATCCCAATATTTCTGTTTAATATCTGTAACTGCTCGGAATCTTGTGTTGCGTTCAAACGGTTGAAGTGGTATCAAATATGAATATCTTGTGTCAACCCGCCTTTCCACAGGACTTCCCTCACCCTGCTCTCTCTCCTCTCTCTCTCTCCCTCTCTCCATCTCTCTCGCTCTTTCTATTTCTCTCCGTCATTACTCTTTCATCTATCTCTCTCTCTTATACGCCTATCTACCTACTCGTTTCTGTCCTCCTTATCTCCCTCTCTCTCTCTTTCTCCTCTCTACCTTGCCTTTTTCTTTCCTTCTGACATTTCGACTCCTCCCATGTCTGATTGAATTTATCTTGCACCTTCTTCAGTAAGATACTATTATTGAAGTTCACATAATACATGTTCAAAGTCTTGTTTTGAAATATAGTATGTTTAAATCTCTAGTGTGATATTTTGATAGTTTACCCATTACTCACATATTCCGTATATGTGCATTCCCATTTCCAAAAAAAAAAAAAAAATTCATTTATTGCATTTTAACCTTTTAAATCTGTATGAATGACGTTGAATGTGGCACTATGAACTGTAATTTTGCATACACAGTGATTATACTTCCTCTAATTCTCTCTCTCCCGGTCGGCCTCTTTTTGCCCATCCCCCCCCCTCTTCTCAGTCTCCGGTTACCTGTTTCTTACCTTTACTTCGTCTTCCACTCTCCTCCTCTCAGTCCCCCCTTCTCTAACTCTCCTTTTCTCCTACTTTATTTCTACTTCCTTTTTTTGCTATCTCTCAGTGCAATATGTGAACATACTTTGACATTGTTTTAAGAATACTGTCTTTTATTTTGATTGCCGTATTGTTTTTATGTTTTAACGTAGCTCACATTGTTTGATAATTGTTACAGCATTGATGAGCAAGTTCAGTTTTTATCATGTAAACTGAATGTTATTCAGCTTACGGGCTGCCAGGTTCAAGTATTTTAATAAACACTCAACCAAATATCGTTAAGTACAAATGACCTTTCACTCTTCTGATTCGACGATATATAGATGATCGGGAGTATGAGCTGAATCAAAGCTAAACACAAATAAAAAGAAGCTTTTGCCGAGAGTCTTAAACAGGATAAATCCTCCTCTAAGTAGGGATTCTTGGCTTTCTTGCTATATATACCTTTCTTTGCTCCAGTGATCTCGAAGCAGCAGACAGCGAGGAATTGTGTAGATAATAAAAGGTCCACGGGAGGGGTTGTTATAAGCTTTCAATACAAAGAATCATATTCTCTCCAACCTTATACAACAAAAGGGTGTCTTTGGAACCACATCATGTTTACTGATGGGGTGCATGGGGGGGGGGGGGCTTTGCTGGGAGTCTTAAACAGGATAAATCCTTTGAAAACTAAATAGGGATTCTTGTTATACGTTGTTATATTTCTTCGATCACGTGATCTCGAGGCGGTAGAGGGCAAAATGCACAAAACAGACGAAACACTTGATGCATTGCTGATCGTCAACGAAACGGAGTTAAGTCTTTTGTCAACTCTGTTTGTTGCTACGGCAGGCAACCAGTGAAAACGTTTTAGATTAATCAAATCATGGAAATGCAAGCATTACTTAAACAAACAGAACTTTGTTATTCCTGTCTCATTTTTTTTCTGATTGAGGTGCCATATCAAAGAGCCAAAATGAACTTTCTAGGAATGTGCTTTTCTATTTCAAATTCAGATACCGCCCGCCAAATGACTCTTTGTTACCCTGTCTTCAAATTGTTTTGAATCACTCATGCGTGAAATATGCATTATGCGGGTAGCATCAAATGAAAGAAGAGGATCTAAGCTTTATAAATATGTGTCATTTATTAATTATAATGTGATTGAGCTATGATAAAAACATCAATAATTCTCGGTTTCGTTTTTGTCTGGGACGCACTGTATAATACATGTATTAATCCTGAGGAGTTGTAAGTTTTAATTTGCTTAAGTGCACCTCTCTCACTCTCCCTATCTTCTATTTCTCTCCCTCTCTCTCTCTCCCCCTCTCTCCCTCTCATTATTGTTTTCATTATTCCTCTCTCTTTCTCCTCTCTTTCTTTCTGCTCCTTTTCTCTCTAATTCACCACCTCTTTCTTTCTCTTCCCCCCCCCCCTCTCTCTCTCTCTCTCTCCCTTTCTTCGTATTGTTTAGTATGTCTTAAAAAAATGTTGAGTATAATTACATATTGTAAAGAACTGAAAACCACAATAAAACCATATTAGTCATAATTCAATAATTGTTTTATATTAGTTAGTTTATCATGTGATGAATTAAAGTAGTGATGACACTTCTTCCGTATCAAAATTATTACATTTGTAGGTAAAACTGTTTGTGCATTTCTATTCATTATTAAGAACCAAATGAAAAGAAACGCTTTCTTTTAGCAGAGTTGACGTGGGCTATCCCCGTACTTGTTTCTAGAATTTCATAATGTATTATTTAGTGTGTGTTATGCGTATCACAAAATGTACCCAACTTTGGTAGCTTTTAATAAAAGAGTTACAACCTATGTTACCTTAAATCACATTTTAATGTAAATTAAAAAACTAATACTCTGTCTAATGATATCGTTTTCATAGTTGTGCTGCCAAGGATGATTGTCAAACAGCCAGCTTTTCAAAAAGAATTGTCAAAATTCTTTTGTACCAAGTTTGGGCGCAACTAATGAACGTGGGACAAAAGCCATTATGTTTGTGTTATGTCATTCCAATAACAATTGCTAATTTAATTACATTGAATATTAGGCAGTTGGATGAGAAGAAAGGTGTTTATATCAATTCAAACTCAAGGAAATGCTTATTACAATTCATGATATTCTCTTTATTATTATGAACATAATCTTGACTTCATTCACTATCCTTGTTAAAGGTAACCGTCTTATTGAGTGATAAAAAAGAATAGCATTTATTTGGGATCTTATCTTCAAAAAAATGAAGTTCCTTTGATATGACTCATCATATGTGTTTTTTCTTGCATTTGGGTTTTGTAACCTTTGAGTTTTTATACGCTATTTGAGGTAACAAATCTTATGCTCCTGTATATAAATTAAATTAAAGAATCAGTGCTTACTTTAGCCCTTTTTAGGAGGAAACTAAGAGTAATCGCAAGGAAACCAATTAAGAAAAGAGAAAAGTACGTAAGATAAAGATGATGAACGGGAATGGAAAGTAAAAAAAACACATGAAGAATAAAAATAAAGCAATACAAACAAAAATAAAACAAGGGATAGAAAGACAAAGTGGGAATGTTGTGAACAAGCGGGAAAGAAAAGAAAAAGGGATAGAGTTAGAGGGAGGGGCAGAAATATTAGGGAAGGGTTAGGCATAGGAATAACAATGACATCAAAAGACCATTCAGACAGGAGAAGAGGTAGAAATCTGGTTATAAACAATACAAGCAACGCCTTTTCACTTCGTTTCAATTTATATATTTCAATATGACCATCCTTAATCATTTTTTTCTTCAAATTTTCAAATTTGTCTCATAAAAGATTGTGTTTACATGTTCGATTGTCTATTACTAAATCTATATGTATCATGTATTTGCTCAATATAGTAAACCGAAATAAATATTAGAATAAAATAAATTCAAACGCAACGTTACCTCGAATGCATTTCCTTTGCTTGAATCCGCCATTTCCACTTTAGAAAATCACAAGCAGGGTTTGAGATGATTTTGTTATGGGTGTCCTACTTTAGATGCCTCTCCGACATCTGATATTGGTCAACACAAATTCCCCGTCCTACAAACTTGGCATCAAGTCGATGTTCAATGGAAATACTGATGTTGAGGTCCGACGTGGACCGTGGAAATGATACTGTATACCAACACGTTATCCGACGCCACTGGTATACAGGTACCCTTCCGGATGTTTGCTACAAAAGCTCAGGTCTTAAGGGTTTATACCCCTGGTTGATTGATCCAATACAAAAGAAGATTCCAAGAACAGTCTGGCTCACCTTTCGGGGGCAGTGGCGTAATGAGCAAACAATTTGGGGGGGGGGGGGGCGTGGGATCCAGGCATGGGTGTCGATACTTACGTAATACCTATTCATCAGGGGGGATGAATGAATAGATCATCCCCCCCTGATGAATAGGTATCAGTTACGGATCGACACTCATGGATCCAGGGGCGGAGCCCCGGAAGCTCAGTGGTTTTAGGCATTGAATTACGGTCAGATAAGCATTATTTTGATACCTTATTTGCGACACTGGCAGGTCACTAATTGACGGGGGTGAAGGGGGCTGAACCCCATGAATTAGCTCAGGGATTTTAGGTGTTTAATTACGGTCAGATGAGCATCCAGGGGCTCGTTGGTTGGATCCAAGCTCAGGGGTTTTAAGCATTTAATTACGGTCAGATTAGCATATTTTGATACCTCATTTGTGACACTGGCAGGTCACTCATTTTTTTCCTTCTTTTTCTTTCTTTTTCTCATTAAAATAGTTTTTCGAAAAAGTGATGAGGGAGCTAGAGCCCCCGAGCCCCGCCGTTCTGCAGATGCTGACATGAAGGCTTCTAAATAAGCATATTTTTTGCCTGCCTGTTAATTTGGGAATTTGTAATTTTCCAACAAAAGCGAAAAAAATAGTAAAATTAAACAAAACAAAAAATGAGAATAATCCCGAAAATCATGTCATTTCAGCAGCATTCGTAAATCCTGCTATCGAATTAGAAATAAACCAAGTTTTTTTTATTTTTTTATTTATTTATTTATTATTATTTTTTTTTTAGGGGGGGGGGGCAACTACCCCCAAGCCCCCCCCCCCACCAGTACGGCAGTGTTCAGTGTTTTCCGCGTATGTATCATTTATATATGGTTTTACAATGGCTTTGGTGATGAGATGTCTAGGTTGATGTGTTTGTTAAAATGTATTAACATACTGCACCTTCTTGGTTAAACAAAAAATATATTTGTATGTAATAACGTAAGTTGATGCCTTTACATACCACAGTAGAAATCAAATATTTCATATTTGATGCAGAATAATATTTATATTTGGAGATTAGAAACACAAACAGGTTGCATAACCAATCAAGTGTTTGAAGAACAAGTTAGGCAAACTTTGTCCTTGATGTAAATTCACCCTAGCGTTAAACACTAGCGAGCTCTCCGATCCAGTCTAGACTCTTCGCAAGCGGTTTCGTTGGAATTAATCGAGAAATTGCCCTCGCTAGCGTGTAAATAAAAAAAATACGCCGCCGGGGCAAAGCCGCTGGACCTCTCGCCCCCAAATGATTTTGCTCATTACGCCACTGCCCCTGAAAGGTGAGTCCCCCTGGAATTTTTACCCCCCCCCCCCCATCCCAAACTGCTTCCGGCGCGCCTGGGAACAATAACTAATGAGAAGTCTCCAACTGGCATTTATGTGAGATGTCACAAGTACGCGTAACGCATGTCACACACACAGACATGCGAAGAAAAGAGAGAATAATGTAAAAGAGAAGAAGATAGAGGATAGAGGAAAAGGAGAGAGAGAGAGGGAGAGAGAGAGAAAGAAAGAAAGAAAAAGGAAGAACATGAAACTTACATTTACACTTAGGCCTACAGATTACATTTCCGACTAAGTTGACTTGACATGTGCCTAAGAAGTCTGTGGACGAAAGTACAACAATACGAAAACAGAAGTTATATACAATTTTGTTTAAGAGAGAAATAGAGGTTATTTCTAAAATGAAATAAAAGGAGCTATGTGACTTTCAAGGAGGAAATAACAATTTCTATCGCTCGTGATGACTATTTTTATTTTCCTAATTTTTAAAAATTCATGAAACTCCGCCCCAAGACTCCGCCCAAAGACTCCCGCAAAGGCATATTATTTACACAATGTCTTGTGTCTGCTGCCTCGAGATCACTGGAGCGAAGAAAGGTAACAATGTATAGCAAGAATCCCTTTTCAGTGAAGGATTCATCCTTTTTATTATTAAAGACTCCCGGCAAAGGCTCTCCCCCTGCACCCAATCCGTAAAGATAGAAGTGGTTCCCAAGACAATAAAATTGGAGAGAGTGTGAGTTTTATGTAGTTTAAAGGTAAATACCAGTTATGGTCATGCGATTGCATTGTGAAAGAAACGTTGTGGAATCGATCAGAAAAGGTTGATCATCTAGCATAGATCTAGAGGGATCTATAATATAAGTATTGGTGTGTACTGCAAGGTTCTGGAATCATCAAAATGATAAGAAATTTTGCCCAGTCTTTGTAGTTACAAGCACTGTACACAGAAAGATGTATATGGGACTATACGCACACATGCGTTTATCTCTCACATACCATGGATAAACTAATTTACCAAATATTATATCAATTAGTAGGCGGTTTCCCGGCAAAATTGTTATCATCATGTATTAGTCAAAACATATTCTTTCACATGATTGGTAATAAGAGCTTCCATTTCATTTTTGAAATTGGGGCGTTTCCAGTACTGGTCTTTACCTTTAAGCTTCTAGCAACCCCTAACAACCACTCCCGAGGACCTTTTATTATTTACACAATGTCTTGCTGTCTGGTGCCTCGAGATCACTGGAGCGAAGAAAGGTAACAATGTATACCAAGAATCCCTATTCAGTGAAGTATTCATCCTTTTAATACAGATGCATTCTTCTACCATTCTTGACCAAAAGTGCGTTTCAAACTTAATGATGTGGGCATCATCCGATTTAATATTGTGCCCAGTATTAAGGGTGTGTTCCGCTACTTGCTGCCTAATCTGTGGGCTTTTTTGTGCCCTCAAAGAGAGCACACAATAGGGTCAGCGCAATTTACATATCAAGGGATGTACTAGAGTTTATTTCTAAAATGAAATGAAAGGGCTATTTGCTGCCTCGAGATCACTGGACTCTGACAGGAGCGAAGAAAGGTAACAATGTATAGCAAGAATCCCTATTCAGTGAAGGATTTATCCTTTTTATTATTAAAGACTCCCAGCAAAGGCTCTCCCCCTGCACCCCATCCGTAAAGATAGACGTGGTTCCCAAGACAACCTTTTGTGGTATAAAATTGGAAAGAGTGTGAGTTTTTTGTAGTTTAAGCTTCTAACAACCACTCCCGTGGACCTTTTATTATTCATACGTCTTGCTGTCTAGCTGCCTCGAGATCACTGGACTCTGACTGGAGCGAAGAAAGGTAACAATGTATAGCAAGAATCCCTATTCAGTGAAGGATTGATCCTTTTTTTATTAAAAAGAAATAACCTCCCTTTCTCTCTTCAAGACAATCTTCTCTCTTGAAAATCTGTACTGATAGTGTTAATGTACTGAAATTGTTTTGTCAATGGATTGTGTGTGTACACGTGTGTGTATTTTTACGCTCGCTGTGCTGATTTCTGCTCTCATATTCAACAGCAAATTGCGAATAAATCCCAATATTTCTGTTTTATATCTGTAACTGCTCGGAATCTTGTGTTGCGTTCAAGCGGTTGAAGTGGTATCAAATATGAATATCTTGTGTCAACCCGCCTTTTCCACAGGACTTTCCTCACCCTGCTCTCTCTCTCTGTCTCTCCCTCTCTCCATCTCTCTCGCTCTTTCTATTTCTCTCCGTCATTACTCTTTCATCTATCTCTCTCTCTTATACGCCTATCTACCTACTCTTTTCTGTCCTCCTTATCTCCCCCCTCTCTCTCTCTTTCTCCTCTCTACCTTGCCTTTTTATTTCCTTCTTTCATTTCGACTCCTCTCATGTCTGATTGAATTTATATTTCACCTTCTTCAGTAAGATACCATTATTGAAGTTCACACAATACATGTTCAAAGTCTGGTTTTGAAATATAGTATGTTTAAATCTCTAGTGTGATATTATTTTGATAGTTTACCCATTACTCAAATTTTCCGTATATGTGAATTCCCATTTCCTAAAAAATATAACTTCATTTAATGCATTTTAACTTTTTAAATTTGTATGAATGACGTTGAATGTGGCACTATGAACTGTAATTTTGCATACACAGTGATTATACCTCCTCTAATTCTCTCTCTCCCGGTCGGCCTCTTTTGCCCACCCCCCCCCCTTCTCAGTCTCCCGGTTACCTGTTTCTTACCTTTTACTTCGTCTTCCACTCTCCTTCTCTCAATTCCCCCTTCTCTAACTCTCCTTTTCTCCTACTTTATTTCTACTCTCCTTTTTTGCTATCTCTTAGTGCAATATGTGAACATACTTTGACATTGTTTTTAGAATACTGTCTTTTTATTTTGATTGCCGTATTGTTTTTATGTTTTAACGTAGCTCACATTGTATGATAATTGTTACAACATTGATGAGCAAGTTCAGTTGTTATCATGTAAACTGAATGTAATTCAGCCTACGGGCTGCCAGGTTCAAGTATTTTAATAAACACTCAACCAAATATCGTTAAGTATAAATGACCTTTCACTCTTCTGATTCGACGATATATATGATCGGGAGTATGAGCTGAATCAAAGCTAAACAAAAAAAAAGAAGCTTTTGCCGGGAGTCTTAAACAGGATAAATCCTCCACTAAATAGGGATTATTGGCTTTCTTGCTATATACCTTTCTTTGCTCCAGTGATCTCGAAGGCTCGAAGCAGCAGACAGCAATGAATTGTGTAAATGATAAAAGGTCCACGGGAGGGGTTGTTATAAGCTTTAACTACAAAGAATCACATTCTCTCCAACCTTATACAACAAAAGGGTGTCTTTGGAACCACTTCTATGTTTACTGATGGGGTGCATGGGTGGGGTTTTGCTGGGAGTCTTAAACAGGATAAATCCTTTGAACACTAAATAGGGATTCTTGTTATACGTTGTTATATTTCTTCGATCAAGTGATCTCCAGGCAGCAGAAGGCAAAATGCTCAAAACAGACGAAACACTTGATGCATGGCTGATCGTCAACGAAACGGAGTTAAGTCTTTTGTCAA